GACTTCTTGCAAGGAGATGACATTCTCTGGATCAATTGTAAGGGTATCTACGAACTATACCAGCTGGACACCCTCGACGTCTCTATTATGAGTTGCTGGATTTTGTAAGTATCGTTTAGTTAGATTTCTTATTACGTTTCCTTTAATTAATTAGGTCCTTCTATATAAGTAGACTATATATAATATATACTTCCCTTTATCGTTGTAGAATGGAGATTCAAAGGGCCCGACGGCGGGGGGTTTTCGATACTGGATTCATCGACCCTCGGAAAGTAAACGTCGCAATGCTCGACCAGTATCCGTAAGCTACAGAGGACAATCTCGTCCATCTCCTGAAGGCGCAGCATTACAAGACGTTCATACTATTGCCGTACAACACAGAGTTAGTTTTTACTGTCTTCCTATACCAAATTTCATTCCCGTACGAACATGCTAAGTGTTTCATATGTAATGCATCCCACGCACATTGCAGATTCCACTGGGTCCTTTTACTCTTCGACTTGGAGGCCTGCACCGTCAACGTATATGACTCAATGGATAAAAAAGAGTCTACGTTTGACAAGGTTTTCGAACTTATAGATAGGTACTGTCATAAGTTCCTATGTTAATTACGAATCTTGTTATAATTAATTGCTACTACGAATCATAGCTTTAAACTCCATGTAGGGCTTGGTATCGGTTCCGTCATTTGGTCCGCGGCAAATGGAGAGAAAGACTTAGGCGGAAGTTCAATTTTCTTGTGAGTACACATGCTCTACATTTATATTCGATCTCCAATTCAAATACATACAAGTGTATATTAATTAGATCTCTCGCCGTTTGTCATTTATTTATAGCGCGCAAAGCAAAAGCAGGGAACTAACTTGTGCGGCTACTACGTGTGCAAGTATTGCCACTGCCTTGCAGACCAAATCATCACCACAAGAGAGCTCGATGTACGTACAAATAAATTCAAAATTTCATTGCGTACGTATCGATTTGTTGTTTAATTACTAATTAATTTCATACATTCATATAGTTTATTCGCATGAGGAATAACCTGATCACACACAAGGAATTTATCGCGGCGGTTCAAGAACAACTCATGGGATTCATCAACGAACAAATCCTTGATCCCAAGGGTGAATTCTACTACGACGGAAATACAATTCATAGGTCCTTAGCTTTTGAGATAACGACTACTACTACGTTGAAATCGTAGCTAGCTAGGACATCATAATGGATTGTAATTAATACATGTCTATTTTTTCTATATGCATGTACACATTTTCTTTAATGTAAATATATACTACCCTCGTTTTTTAATAGATAACGCCGTTGACTTTTTATTACATATTTGACCATTCGTCTTATTCAAAAATTTTATGCAAATGTATAAGATATAAATCACACTTAAAGTACTATGAGTGATAAAACAACTCATAGCAAAATAAATTATAATTACATAAATTTTTTGAATAAGACAAATGGTCAAACATGTGAGAAAAAGTCAATGGCGTCATCTATTAAAAAATGGAGGGAGTATTTTGGTCATATATATATATATATATATATATATATATATATATATATTCTATATACCTGGGAGTACGTACACCTGCTCCCATCCACCGTCCATCCATTCAACTAGCGATCTACCCGATCGAACCTCCCCCTAACGGGTATAGCTACACTGGCCCGTTAATATTTTGAATAAGATTTAATCCATAATTATCCAGGGATAATTTAACTAACCATCGCCGATTTTTTCTCACTAAAGCGACACATATCTCTCGCCATACAGACGCGGCGGCGTGCGGCCATGGCGCGATCCATCGGCGATTCGGCCGCGACGCCGGCACGATCCATCGGTGATTCGGCCACGATGCGAGGTGCGGTGGCTACAGGCAATCCGGCGACGACGGCGTGGTGGTTCATAGGCCGATCGTCCTCATTGTTGGTACCAATCCTTGAAGTCTGACTGCTAGATATATATTCTGATTCCAGATATTCTGATTCATGGTCGCTTCTAAATCTCTGCTATCCTTTCCCCCTTTCGCAGTGAGCCAGGCGTACGAGAACCGTATCAATCATGGCAGAGGTTTCCGGGCTTCCGGCCATAACCTGGAGGCAAACTGTCCAACGATGGCAGCTGCTCACACGGATCCTCGATGGACGATGGTGTCTAGTCAATGAATCACGGCCACAACGTCCGGTAGAAACGTGTACTGCACCATGTCTATGGTTATTTGATTTCAGGTTCAGAGCTAATATCGATCTGCCAAAAATCAGAGGCGACACGTAAGGCATTTGTTCCAACCTCCCAGAGAACTGAATAGATTCTGAATTTTTCAGCAGCATATATATCTACCTCTTATTTCTTTTTCTCTATTTTTCGATCGACTAGTTGATTCTGAATCCTGTGAGCATGAGCTCATATATACCTCTTGTTTTTTGTATTTGTAGATGAATTTTGTATCATACTTCTAAATTTTGCTCGTGAAAAAGCATATAATACTGCACACATGAAAAGCAATATATGGCTTATCTAAGTAATAGTGGTACATACTACTAAATCTAAGAAATAGTGTATATACTTATTTAAGCCGTATATGCATCATATATATACTGAAGAAACAAAAAGAGTAGTATATGCAGATACTGAGCAAACAAGAAAGCAGTATTATCTCCTTTAGCGATGAGATGCAGTATATAGTGACCGAACAAAAGTATAGCAGCATATACTGACCAAATTAAGAAAAAACTAGTATATGCTCCGTCAATACTAATGTAGTATATACTGGCCAGAAAATTCAAGAAAACAGTATATACTGTTCAAAGGAATAAGTAGCATATACTTGTAACAAAACAGTACATACTGTTCCAATAAACAGTAAACAGTATATACTTATAAGAGTATGTGAACATACTATATATACTACATTGCTACTAGAGTATGCAGAAAGCATGTACATATGTACATTCATATATATACTTTGGGAAAGAAATCAGTACATACTCTTTCGGAGAATAAATCAGTATATACTGAACCAAAAGAAAATTAGTATGTGCTGCTATAATTAAGTAAAACGAGTAAAGTTTATACTACTACTACTAAGTGGGAAAAAGTATATACTACAATGTTTATAATCGGATTTCTCTAATCATTCCCAAAAAAAATTCAGTATATACTCACTCGTTCCAAAAAAATCAGTATATACTCATTCCAAGAAAAATCAGTTTATACTACTCATTCAGTCGTTCCAACAGTATATACTGCACGTACCATTAAAAAAAGAAATAATCAGTATATATACTAGTTGATTCTGAAGTAAGTATATACGACTGCTAAGAAAAATAAGTATACACTGCTACAACAAAAATATAAGGTAATCCTTACCATGTACTGCTAATAAAAAAAAAACTAGTATATATATACTACTGCTCATCACTACAAAGAGTGTATATACTAGCCTAAAAACAGTATATACTGTTGCTTACTAGAAAAGAGAGTATAACTAAGGCACGTTATCAAATTTGAAAGCAAATGCATACCAACGCCCTCGTTCAAATTTGCACCAAATCCGCTGGGCTAGCGGCCACATGCATACGGTGTTTTGGAAATTAATAATTTTATTCTTTTTCCTGGTTAATTTGAATGCTAATGGATCATCCACTAATAAGAGGGAGTGCATACACCTGGGTGTACGAAAGAGTCGTCATATATATATATATATATATATATATATATATTTTTAACCATGCAGCAATAGGGCCATGAAAAAAAAAAGGTCAGCTCGATCTTTAGTCCCGGTTTGGGGTTACGAACCGGGACTAGAAACACTTTCTCCACCTTCTCCACCAGTGGTAGTATCGGACCGTGTTTGTATCTGTATATACACGCAATGACCCACACCGATGCGCGATGTTTGGACAGACGAAATACTGGTGTGAATTTGTGTCGTCGATGCGTACATCGATCGATTCGTTGCAAAGAAGCGGCTGTCATATCCATCAATTGTGGCATATATATGGCCTGAAACTATGAGAGGATTAACGTACGAGCTTGGTCTTTTTTTAAAAAAAAAAAAACGGTTCATACTTAATTACGTTTCTAAATTCTAATGTGAAAGGATATGACTTGTACCGATCATACGCTCCTGGTTCTGGCGTGCAGGTTATATACTTGCATTACGAGTAGCTGTCATATTCGACCTTCATTCCCATCTGCCTCGCAGTGGGCGTCAAGAGGTAGAGGGGATGCATGGTCAGGTGCGCAGTGCAGGGTATTTTGGCCGGTCAGTTCAGTTGGTCTACCGGTTTTGCTTGCATTCCTGGGTCTCCTTCCAATTCGCTATCACTGCGCTGTTCCGGATAAAAAGCGGTAGCTAGATGGTGAAGTCAATACCGTATGCGTACTGGACTGCTCGACAGATGACATCGTCGTCTCTGGCAGCCTCCGATCGTGTGCACCGTGTGTGGTGCGTACAGTAGACATCGCAGACTGAATTTTCATTGTAAGGTACGTATAGCTGGTTTTTAAATACGCGTATAGTATAGCTAGCCATCCTGACGCGGGTTATCTCGATCAGGACTCAGAAGGCTAATGTAGCATACGCCACTGTGATACTGTCCATAATATATGGATCATCCTTTTGTGAAACGTGGAAAGGCTAACGGTGATTCACGCCATCCTTTTGGAGTACTTCTGATCAATGATCATCAATTCATCGTATGGGCTAATGGGCAGCTGAAGGACGCAACAGTGGTCAACTAAAAGCAGTGTCTTGCCGAACTCGGTACGTACTCGTCCCTACACTAGTATAGCACACAAATTTGCCTATACCGATATGATGTATTCGGCCTTGCTAGAGTTGGGCTCACAAAAATTTTTCTCGGCCCAAATGTTCCGCAACAGCCTAGAATGAGCCTTCTTCTCTGTTGGGCCAATCTAATGCTCGTTTTCTCCCAAAATCCGCGAGGTTTTGTTTTGTAGGCCCAAATACGCTACACACGGCAAGAGGACACCGCGGAAACTCATCTCCAACAACCCTCCAGTCAATGCTGTTCGAGAGATTCATCAGAGAATCGGAAGCAGTTCAATCCCGAAGCAATTTCACTTTTCCTAAATCCTAATCCCTTCGCTTGTCGCCGATGAGCGCGGCGACGGAGGAGGGGCGGCCGGACGGCGAGGAGGATTCGCCGCGCGCGGAGGCGTTCCTGGAGATCCTCGGCCGGGTCCAGCCGGGGGATGCGGAAGCGGAGCTCTCCTCCTGCGGCATCGGCCCGACGGCGGAGGTCGCGGAGCAGGTGCTCAGGTCCCGCGTCTGCTACTCCCGCCCCAAATCCGCCGTCCGCTTCTTCGTCTGGTCGGGCCGGTCGGTGAAGCACACCGGCTACGCCTGGAACCTCCTCGTCGACATCCTCGGCAAGGCCGACATGGAGGAGCCCATGTGGGACGCCGTCCGCACCATGAACAAGGAGGGCGGCGGCCTCGTCACCGTCGCCACCTTCGCCTCCATCTTCTCCTCCTACTGCGCCAGCGGCAACCTCAGGAAGGCCGTCGAGGCCTTCGACGTCATGGGGAAGTACGGCGTGGAGCCGGACGCCGTCGCCCTCAACTCCCTCCTCTCCGCCATGTGCCGCGGGGAGGGCCGCGCGCAGGCGGCGCAGGACCTGTTCGAGCGCACCAAGGCCACCGTCGCGCCCGACGCGGACACCTTCGGGATTCTCCTCGAGGCGTGGGAGAAAGAGGGGAACGCCCAGCGCGCCAAGAGCACCTTCGGCGAGATGATTGTCCGCGTCGGCTGGGACGCCGGCAACATGCCCGCGTACGACGCCTTCCTCTCCACGCTTGTGCGCGGGGATCAATTCGGCGAGGCGCTCAAGTTCCTTCAGGTGATGCGGTCCAAGGGCTGCCTCCCGGGGCTCAAGTTCTTCGCCAGGGCAATCGACCTTGTCGTCCGCAAGCGCGACTATGCGAACTCTTTGGCCATTTGGCAAATGATGATCTCGGATGCTGGCCTTGTACCAAACCTCCCCATGTACAATGCCATGATCGACCTCTGTTGCAGTGTTGGTGATACCGACTACGCCCTCCGCATGCTCGACGAAATGCCCTTCAATGGCGTCTTTGCAGATTTTATCACGTACAATGCCATACTTGAAGGGCTCATCAAGCAGCGCAAGGCTCGTGAGGCTGAGGCTTTCCTCGCAGAGATGAGCAAGAACGAGCAGCTGCCCTCCCCAACCAATTGTGCTGCTGCTATCAGCATGTTCTCTAAGGAGTTTAACCCGTCAGCAGCAATCGATGTGTGGCACTGCATTGTGGAGCACCAGATTACTCCGGCTGATGAGTCAGCCAGAGAACTAATAGTTGGGTTGCTTGATTTTGGCAGGTTTGCTGAGGTGAAGAAATATACTGATGAAATGCTTGACATGGGAATTGAGTTACCTCAGTCAACCATTGATAATATGAAGCGCACATTTGATAAGGTTGGCAAGCACCACACATATGACCATATTGCTAGAAGGCCAAAGCGGTGTTAGCTATACATCACCAATTTAATCATAATAGGTATGCCTTCTTTCATATGGGTGTTTTTGGCTGTGTCAGTGAATGCCATGAATTGCATGAATTCATCTATCATCTTGACCTTATGCCATTCACTAATAAGTCCTCATGACTTGCTAGTAAGCTACTTGGAGTGAATGTCATCAGTTGCGTGAATTCACCAATTATCTTGACCTTATGACATTCACTAATTAGTCCTCATGACTTGCAATTAAGCTACTTGGAATTGGAGGTTTTATCCTGGACTACTAGTTTGGTTCCCTATGTTCTTGCATGAGCCAATTCCTTGTTCCTCTTGGCTGTCTTGCTCTCCTTGTCTTGTTAATATTGGAGTACCTTTTCTTGGCACGGTGCACAAGGCCACTAAAAATGACTATTCCACTGACTATTTATGTGCGCTACTTTTATGCATTTTGATAACTTTCCTTGCCCCTTTGGAAGACACTGGACATCTATGATTCCATCTTCCTTTACAATAGGATTCATAGTGATGTTGTATGGAAATGTAGCTGTTTGGTGCTCTTCAATGGAGGAAGAACTCCTAACTCATATCTTGGGTATCTAGCGGACATGCACTTCTATCACAACAACTCATATCTTGGGTTATCTAGCGGACATGCACTTCTCTTACAACAACTCCTTGTCGATGTCTACACTACTCACCCCACTTTAAGATAGATATCTTGTGGTGGCTGTCGGGGTTTACAGACTTATGTGCCCTCGCACTAAAGTTGATGCAACCCATAAGTCCTGATTGCAGATGGACACATTGCATTGACTATCGTCTATCTTCCAGGACCTAACTATTACACATTGGCTATATGTCTAGGCTGTGGTCTCCCCTCATCTAATTATTGAGTGAGTCCCTTGTCCCAAATTACAATGGCCTTACAGATGTGTTTTGTGCTTAACCTTTTTCTCTCTGATCACTTCCATCATTGTAGGTGTCGTGGGCTTCTTAGTGTTTAAGCCAAGTAAAATGTGATTCAATCTTCTTTGCTCAAATCTTTGATTCCTGGTACAACATAGTCGAGATAAAACATAATGTTGTTCACTTTAGCCTGTTTGGGTTTTGCAAAACTCCATAGATATGCAGAAGAGAAATGCTATCCCACTCCATCATGGCTTGACACTTCTTAGTCTGAACTCTGTAGAATTTTAAGGATTGCCTTCTAATTTTGGCATATTATGGACTCGAGTTCAAGATGTGGTGTACTGCGTGTCATCTTTTTTCCCTTACCAAGTTACCCCTGCTATATAGCTTCTCCAAATGCTTTTGATCACTCTTTGAGAAAGGCATGTTGGAAAACAGAAACATGTGGTCAGTACTGATCACACATTGCACAAGATGGTACTGTTTCTTCTTCGTTGAACCTAGATTATCTTCTTTAGTGTTTCTCTGGAACAACAAACCTCTTGAATTGTTAAAGATTCAGTAGCATTGAGTAAAACTACAACAGGTTATGTCTACTGTTACCACTGTTTGATGCACTTCCATCCTATAGAAATCAATAGCTAATGTTTCTATTCATGACGTGTCTACCAGGGAGGATTTACATAATTAGAGTCGGGGACTTTTTTGGGGCCTTTTGTGGGTTGACTCCAAAAAAAAAAAAAAAATCCCAATGAGAACCTTTAAAAAAAACAGAATGATCTATTTTGGTTTACTTAATGATCAATGCGCCTATGATTGCATGCATCTGTTGAAGTAGAGTTGTATTCCCACCTCTCTCTACACCTTAAGCTTTTGGATGAGCTGATTGGTTCATGAAACTCCAAATATTTTCTGTGGATGTGTTGCTTGATTACTTATTTATGTGTTTCATGGACACACTGACTATCTATGGTATGCCTGTTCTGTTGGTAGCCTCATATGACCTTGCTTTTGTTACCACATGTGTTACTTTTGCAGCCCGACAACCTAGGCTTTACTTAGTACTGTATGTTACCATTTGTATTTGGTCAAATATTGAATTTTTTGGTGTTGGTTTTGTCTGTCGATTGAAAACTAGAGTGTGAATGAGAGAAAAAAGAGGACAAAAGGCAAACCTCATGTCAAAATTTCCTTTTTGTGTCTCATCTCTCCTAGCTCCAGCTTGGCGATTGTGGACCAAACAAAATGCTGACCTCTGGTCACTGTAAGACGTTTATTCAAACTATGCCACCCTGCTTTGCTGCGTTGTCGTTGAGAAGCTCCTCACCATTGGCAGGGGCATTGTTGTGCACCTCCTCTTCCTCCAGGCAGAGCTCATATAGCTAACGAAACCATGTTTTATATTTCAACACACATATTTAGATTGAAACTTAACCTTTTAACATAAAACACCATCTTGTCTCCCTGTTGGTGCTAACTTGGAACAATCTTGCCACATCTTGGCATAGTTGCCTTCATATGGGCATGGTTGCTACAGTTAAGTGCCCTTCTTTGCACCCAATCGACCCAAAAAGGCATGAATTCTGCCATTTGGCCTTGTCTGTCTTACCATATGTGTTGGCTGATGTGGCAGAATACCAGTATAGAGATTAGCCTGGCTTGAGCAACCTTTACTAAAAGACGGCGTTTTACATTGGTTGACTGCTCACCTTGTTCATGTGCAAAGAAGTAAAGGGGAATGGGCAAAATTTCAGAATGAGGAATTTATCCAAACAAATGTAATGCATGTGGTTGTGTTACACTTTGTCATGTTCTATAAATTTGTGAAATTTACCCTTTCAAAATATCTGACAGGCTGCCTAAAAGTATTGACAGTAGTGGTATGAACCGCCTATTCTCTGAAACGTAGCAGCGTGATGAACAAGATCAAATCAAGTGGTTGGACTGTCCTTGGTGCGTTCGTTGGCATCAGCATCTGCGCTTCCTGTCATAGACGCCTCTCGCCTGAATCGAGGATTAAATGAAATCAAACGGTGAGAGTACATGCTGATGTGTGGATTCAAGTCCAACAATTAAAAGGGCATAAAATGTAGAAGAGCAAATCAAACATTTGTTTCATTTGGAAGATCTCATAGTTTTTGTGCTATTAGCTTGTCCTTCACATGGCACTGTAGTGCCTAGGGGTGTAGATATAGTTGTTTCAAGAATCCAGTCATTAACATGTCACCATGTGCCTTTATTTTTAGATCTGCAAGTCTATGGGATGTCGATAAAGTTTTCCTGAGAGGGTGTTGAGTTCTTTGGTATGTTAGTATTGCCATATGTCCACTTGTCCAGGATGAGAAGAGGCGAGTTCTGGGTCTCTTGGAAGGCTGCATGGGTACAACCACGGTGAGTTGCTAATTTCATCACATATGTTGCCTATCCATTGCCGTGATTTGCAGGTGTGCCAGAATGGGATAGTGATTTGCATGCGTGTTCCGTCATAGTTGGGTCTGAACAGGATATCGATGTATAAAAATGTGGTTTATTTTATTTTATTTAGGTCTGCATGATATAATAGAGTGATGGACATGCATCATCTAGTTTCTAATCAACCTTTAGGGGAAATGATCAAATCCACTCAACTATGGGGCAAACAATACATGGCCTTGGGGGAAAAGAAAGAAAGATCGATTTCCCGTAAGAGTAAAAGTTGTCATTAAGCCATTATCCTGCTGATCCTTATATTGTTTTCCTTTTGTTGTTATTGTTCAACTTCAGCTATTTGAAGGCGGATTTTGGAGTAAAAGGTATTCCACAGAGTTGCTCCATTTCAATATCGCTACTGAAATATTACGGGTTTGTTGTGTTGAAAATTGAACTTAGGCGAAGTGCTTCAGTGTCAATTTGCAACACGGGAAACCTGTATAGTTTTGAAATCTACTGTTATTACCAGCAATCCAGCATTTTTATCACCCATTTTGTGTTGGGTTTTGATTGCACGTTGATTGTTTTAATACAAGAAATTGCTTTTTGCTGGAGATTGTGTTGTTTTTTAGTTGAATTTTTATGCTTAAGATCAGATTGGCATTCTTCGAAGGGGATATGCTTTGTTGAATCGGTTCCATTGATCTGAGATTACTTGGTTGTTAGCTGGCTAAGGTGACAGTTCTCCCATATTCTTCAACTTAAGTCAGCTTAACATATCCGTTGCTCCGACATCCCAATTGTTATGTAAAGAATCTAATATGTTTTAAAATATATACTTGTTTTTCTAATTTGTATTACACTATTACTCCTTTATATCTGGACCTTCCAGGTGCAGATCATCATATACGCAATCCATCTTATTTTTACACATTTTTCGCGGGACCTCCTTTTACAGAATGTTCTCTTTATGCTACGTTCTGCAACTGCAAGTCTGCAACCTGTCTGGACATGCCTAATGGTGGTTCATAATTTTCCCTAGTTCTGATTGCTACGAATTTTGTTGAATTGTTAGACACAGACCCCTTGGATGGATAGCGTGCAGAGTCGTCTCTTTGTCTGTATGCGAAAAAGGATTTCATGTTCTTTGTTTTGACAAAAATGAAAGGAAAAAGAACTTCCTGTCCTGCAATGCCAGCCTGCTAGGCAGTTGTAGAAACCCATCAAAAATATTTGGAGTGAATAGGACTCGAGCCGTCCAGCTCGTTTCAACCATAAAGGCGTAAATTATAGGGCTCAGCGTCACTATTAGCCTGGTCGGTCATTGTTTCATTTTTTTCGCATATTGTAATCTAATGGCTGCAGTGCATCCACTTGTCCATCCAGGAGTCCAGCACGAACTGCATGCGTCAACATGCAATCGCGGAGAAGCGATGGCTCAGGAAGCGACCTGGGAGATGGAATTGGGGAGGGAGATTAATAATGGATCTTCGCTTTCTGTTTTGTGCTGTTGTTGTCTTCATGGACGAAAGGGCGGCTTGAAACTGTTCCATTCATGAGCGAAATAACGGCATCCATGGATGAGAGTGGACGGTCCTCGAAAGAGAGTGGCAAAGCGTTTTGTCAGGAACAAGCAATCGCATTGCTTTCATGTGAAAGCGTAGCAAAACTGCAGAAGGTTCTAGCCTCGCAAGTTGCAATTCGCGAGAGATTTTATTTTCACGTTGCAGTTTGAACTTTTGCATCCTCCAATTTTTGGTAAGGAAAGGAAAAGGTTCTCTAAAGTCTGAACTGTAGTGTAGTGATGCAACGCTCGTTGCAACGAACCGCTTTTGCACCACAAATTTAATCCGGCCGTATGGTTCAGACAGGCTCGCCTGACCTCATGGCAAGACGTAATTAATTCAACCAGGCTTACAAATTTGTGTACTTTTGCCTTTGATAATTCAGAGAAAGGAGGGATACAGCTAGGGATGGCAATTTTGCCCACGGGTCTGGGTACGCGGATACCCGGACCGATGGGCACGGGCATGGGTGTAATATTTTGCCTGTGGGCACGCCCGCCCGAGACCCGAGAACATCGTAGGCAAGAGGTGGGTATTGTTTTTTGCCCGTGGGTAATATATATCCGACCCGGTATATATGTATGAGCTAATTTTGGCCCATCTCTTATTCCTCGTACCCCTTTTTTTTTTTTGCCCATTTGGCCCACTAATATATACTAGAAACCCTAACCTATTCCAATCCCCTCTCCTGTTCCCCACTCCCCTCTCCTATTCCAATCTTGGTGGCGGCGCAGGCTGGCTCTAAGGACGACGGTGGAAGCGGGCGACGGCGATGGCTCTGAGGGCGACGCGGCCGAGGCGGACTCAGGCGGTGAGTGGCGCGTCAGCGGTGGCGGCGGGAGTCCGACTCATCACCGCCGTCGAGCTTCGCTTCCTCGCTTCCTCATCGCCGCCAGCCTCCTCATCCACCATCGCCCGGCAGCTGGCGACGCGGCAGCGCATCAGCGCGGGCGGCGGCTGGCGACAAGGCGGCGCGGGTGGAGGCCGGCGAAGTGGCTGCGCACAGGCGGCGACTGTGGCATGGCGGCACACGGCAGGGGCGCGGCTGGCGACACGGCGGCGCGGGCGGAGGCCGGCGAGGCGGCGACGCGATTGTGCATGGCGGCGACCGGCGGCGTGGCGGTGGTTGACGACATGGCGGCGCACGGCAAGCAAGCCCGATGGGTACCCGTCGGGCATGCCCGTGCCCGACGGGCATGAGCACGGGTATGGGGTTTTGCCCGATAGGCTTTGCGGGCGTGGATTGGGCACGGGCACTTGGATCTCGGGTCGGGCATGGTTTTGCTCTACCCGTGCCCGACCCGACCCGTTGCCATCCCTAGATACAGCCAATGCTGGCACATCATGGGATATTTAGGTTGCAACTAATCAAGCTTTCTGATAACAATCTTGATTAGTTGGTGGTTCTTGCGATGTACACACGCAGGATGCATGATAGATCGATGATTCGTTGTCCTTCTTATTATTAGCAACCAAACTGCTGATCAAGCAATGACTAATGATTCTCGCTGCCAGACAAATGGCAATAATACGAAAACATTCCGCCTAATATTCGTGGTGACTAATGATTCGCCAGAAGTATGAAAAACACAAGCATGCAGCTAGCCAATGGGTAGCAATGGCTTCCCAGAATTCCGGGACGTGCATGCAAAACCTGTATATAATACTGAAATGTAAATTTCTCCATTTCAGCAGATATTCAAGCGAACTGAAGGTCTGAAGCCAACTAAACAAGGTGTTGTAAGTTCTAAACAAACGAAACCTGTTACCTATACACTAAAGGGCCAAACCTTAATCGCTTAAAACACTAAAACCTAACCACTGAATTGAACTAAGTGTGTACAACATCTGTATGGAGGGCTCTGAGTTGGTAAAGAACAGCAGAGAGCCAGGAGATCGTGGGACGTTTATCAGAGAGCTAAATCCAAATGTTGAACACATAAGCCATCCACACAATATCGCTGGATTAAACTTGGCCTCTGATTATTAAAAGCAAGCCCCCGTATAATGCACAGCCACCAGTTTGTCTCTGGAATGACCTAATGATGATGGCTTTAGTCGGTTGAGGGCGGCAAAATTATAACCCAGAAATCCCCCTCACCATAAACCCCAGGCTTATCTCTCACTAATTAACAAAATCTCTAAACAAACTAATCACTTGATCACTTCCTGTCCAGTCACGAGCCAGTAGCTAGCTACTACTAGGTACAGTCCACTAGACACCGCCCATAAATACCTCGGCTCGCCGAGCTCGTCAGCTCACACCACTGCAAGCAGCGAGAAAGCTAAGCACACACAGCGCGCTCACAGTGATCGGAGATGGCGAAGGACATTGAGGCGGCGGCGGCGGCGGAGGGCGGGGAGTACATGGCGAAGGACTACTCCGACCCGCCGCCGGCGCCGCTGATCGACGCGGAGGAGCTGACCAAGTGGTCCCTGTACCGCGCGGTGATCGCCGAGTTCGTGGCCACGCTGCTCTTCCTCTACATCACGGTGGCCACGGTCATCGGGTACAAGCACCAGTCGGACCCGGGCGCGAACGCCGCCGACGCCGCGTGCAGCGGCGTCGGCATCCTCGGCATCGCGTGGGCGTTCGGCGGCATGATCTTCATCCTCGTCTACTGCACCGCCGGCGTGTCCGGCGGCCACATCAACCCGGCGGTGACGTTCGGGCTCTTCCTGGCGCGCAAGGTGTCGCTGGTGCGCGCGGTGCTCTACATCGTAGCGCAGAGCCTCGGCGCCATCTGCGGCGTCGGGCTCGTCAAGGGGTTCCAGAGCGCCTTCTACGTGCGCTATGGCGGCGGCGCCAACGAGCTCAGCGACGGCTACTCCAAGGGCACCGGCCTCGCCGCCGAGATCATCGGCACCTTCGTGCTCGTCTACACCGTCTTCTCCGCCACCGACCCCAAGCGCAACGCCCGCGACTCCCACGTCCCCGTAAGTGTTCATGCTGCCTCCTCAGCACTTCGCGCGTTAGCTCTTCTTCTTGCATGGCAATTAGCAAATGATTAATTAGCATTAAACAAGTGGTATCGCTAGATAGGGACAATTGAAGAAGTCTAAACACGTGATTACATTAGGTGAGCCATCGTTTTCAAGGTCTGATGGATAACATATATACAGTTCTCATTGGCATTCTTCTCATTAGTTCTCTGGAACCTTAGGGTCAATTGTTGATAATGTTAGTTTCATACTCTCTCCGTACGGACTCCAAAACATAATTTTAACTTCTTGTTTCTATAAAAATATTTATTGAAAAGTTTTATATATATATATATATATATATATATATATATATATATATATATATATAAGTATTTTTAAGACAAATTTATTCACACAATTTTTACATTTTCAAACTTAAGAATTTAAGAGTTATTCATGATTTATATTCTCAAGATTTGAATTAAACATTGTCCTAAACGGCTTTCTTTACGAGTACGTAGGGCATAGAGAGTACAGTTCAACTAGAAGAACTTTAATAAAAGTAACTCCTTTAACCAAACTGATTGCATAAGCGTGCAGTGTGTGCTTCCTGATGGTTCAAAATGTCTAAACAGCTGAACTGAAATTAATTTCAGAACATCTGAAGAAACAGTCTCGAGAATTTGTTCATATAATTAACATGATGCAATTGATTTGTTCAGGTGCTTGCTCCTCTTCCAATTGGGTTCGCGGTGTTCATGGTTCACTTGGCCACGATCCCGATCACCGGCACCGGCATCAACCCGGCAAGGAGCTTGGGAGCTGCGGTGATCTACAACCAGCACAAGGCATGGCATGACCACGTACGTGCCACACTACTTTGCCTCCTATTTTCCATTTTTTTTACAGTCTACCAATGGTCTACTTACATGACAATCGATTAGCAATCACAAGCTTAAATTATAAGCATAACTTTGCGGCTCTTCTGAGCCGCAAAGTCCACACATGTATAGCAGACAGTAGATATACTATTATACCGAAAGGCTCGGGATAAGGCTTTAATTAAGCTCAGCAGATGTCATCACCGACTGATAATTAAGTCATGAAGTTCTTAAAATTTAGCAACCCCACCTGCAGAGCAACTTCAGAAAGCAACCCACTACAGTGCAACTACCCTCAGACATACCTAAAGAAGCTCAAAATTAAACTACTCCATCGGCTAGCTAATGGTAGCTTGGTGTACAAAGTACAACTGTACATACACTAATCAACAATTAATAATATAATCAGGAGCAATTTAACTCGCTCTTTTATTAACTGAGATGACTTGAAGTAGTACTGTCACTAACATAGCTTGTTCATGTTGTTGTAGTGGATCTTCTGGGTGGGGCCCCTCATCGGCGCCGCCATCGCCGCCGCCTACCACCAGTACGTCCTGAGGGCCAGCGCCGCCAAGCTCGGCTCTTCCTCCTCCTTCCGCGGCTAGACGCCGCCGCCGCTGGATGCATGACCGGAGGCATTGAAGTGTAGATATATCGATATCAGAGAGGGCCTCCGGTCAGCTCGCTGTTAATGATCAGCTAGCTGTTCGTTTGCCTGCCAGAGCTAGTTTATCCTCGGTTTCTGGCTTTCTGCGTCAGCTAGCTTCTTGATCATCTTCAGCTTCTGTAATTCCTGAGCTATGCTGCATAATTGTTTGCTCAATGTTTCTTCCAGGTGTGCTTTTCATGTTAACTTTGTATGTGTCTGTATGTATATATGCGAGCTGTGTGCATATGGTACCAAAAAACTGTATGCACTCTATATGAAAAAGTACTTCGATGTTTTCCTCCTAGGTTCTTCCGGATCTATCTATTCCTGCTTTGAGTATCGCTTCTTTAGAATCTGTTGAATGTGTCAACAAAGGAAGAACACCATAAGTCAGTTTATTTACCCGAGCTGTGCTTGAACAAGGGGTGAACGGGCCGCGGACGCTTGCGTTTTGGTGAAAAGGCCGGATGGAGTGCACGCCAGGCAACGCAGCCGGGCCGGTGGCAGCTGGGCCATAGATCACCTGCAAGTCTGCAACAGAGGGTGCGCTCTTTTCAGCTTATAGGATTAGATTCTCCTCGTTTTCCGTTAGCACGCTTTTAAAATTGCTAAACGGTATATGTCGTGCGCAAACTTTCTATAAAGAAATTGTTAAAACAAATCCAACAAATTTATTCATAAAAAAATTATATATTAATACTTAATTAATCATATGCTAGTCGCATTTCTCGTTTTGCGTGCGGCTAAACTGTCCACCGCCACTACTGAAACGATCGCACCCAGAGTGTAGAGAATTTAGAGTATCCAGAGTGGATGGGTCTATTTGGCACAACTTCAACTTCAGCTTCATCTTTTTTGAAACTGGAGTAAACAAACAGATTCACATTACGAAGAATAGAGTGAAGCGAGCTGAAGTTGTAGCCCTAATGAGTTAAATTTAGATCTAACTAAAAATAGAGTTAAATTTAGACTTTATTTCTATTTAAATACCAAACTACGAAATCATATCACTCAAAGTTATTTTTGAGTCATAAGAGATACACATCTTTAAATAAATAAATTGATAAATCTATATAGCGCGCACTACATGCTGTAGTATGTGAAATGTCTATATACTTATAAGTTATAACCAACTAGCTAAATACCCGTATGTTGCAACAGAGTTTTAAAAGCGAAACTCATCTTTCTAAAACCATTTACATTTTCTAATCACGAGACTGTACTTGCAAAAATTGATATTAAATTTTCTTATGGATTTTTTGTGACTTCTAGAGCCTAGTTGGCTGGTTATCTCTACTATATAATTGCCAAAAGGATAAATAAAATTTTTAATTAAAACTCAAACAATCTAAAGTCGTGCCAAATAGATACTCCTTCCATCCCATAATATAAGGATTTTGATATTTTGCTTATACTGTTTGACCACTCGTCTTATTAAAAAAATTGTGCAAATATAAAAAACGAAAGGTTATGCTAGCTTAAAGTACGTTGGATAATAAAGTAAGTAAAAAATAAATAGTAATTTTATTTTTTTTAATAAGACAAATGGTCAAACAGTGCAATCAAAATATCAAAATCCTTTATATTAGGGGATGGAGGGAGTATTTAAATCCAGATTGTTGGTTCTAATGAAGAATAATGGATATAGATCTATATAGGCTTTGTTATCCGTTGGTTCTTCCCTCGGTCTTCATCCGGAGCTAATTGTAACAGGATTGGGCAATGGTCCGATCTGAGGGTGTACAACCTGTGCCATAGGAAAAATCGTCAACCAATTCTGGCTCGCAATAGCCCGATCAAGTCGGACTAGCACATTTCGTCTTCCTTCTTGTTTGTTATCGTATGCCCATGGCGACTCCTTGAACCCTAAATCATATTTGGCTATATAGATCCTAAATAAGTTTGAAAAAAAAATGGTCAAACAACTAATAATATACTAAACGGAGAGATTATTTTTTCTTTTCTCCTGATCAAGGATATGTGTACTTGTGAAAGCACGTATCCACCGCGTCAGTATATTGGATGTGACACACCAAAACTATATCCAACATTAATTAATCCTCAAAAGTTTGGGTTGATCGATCATTTGCCTACCGAAACTCACGTGAAAAACGGCTGCCCTACAATACGGTCAGCATATCTACCACCCGTCCGATATTCCTCCAACGATACGTGACCTGACCCCACCCTCCGACGGCCCACCCGAGCCCAGATCGGCCTACGGGCCCGCGTGGGCCCGTCGTTGCAGTCACATCCTCCCCTTCCATGGACTGATGGACCCCTGACCAAACCGCGACGATCCTCCCCCAAAACTCACGCTTCTCGCCGCCGCCGCCTCCTCGCTCCTCTCCTCTCCGGCCATCCGCCGCGAACCCCCGAAATCTCCCGCCGGCGAAGATGCACCTGTGGCCGTCGCTCCGGATCCGCGACTCCTTCAAACACGCCTACCTTGATAAGCTGGAGTTCAACCTCGCCCGCATGAAGCGCGCGCGGGGCGAGGACCAGGACCAGGACCAGCAGCAGCCGCCCGGCGACGGGAAGGCGCCGCTGCTCGAGGGCCTCCGGGCTCCGAGGAGCTCGTTCGTCGCCGGCGCGCTTGAGCTCGCCATGGACGCCGCCATGCTCCTCACCTGCTGCTGCTGTTGCTTCTGCTGTGGCGGTATGTAACACAGACTGAATCCTGTTTTCAATTCCATTTCTAATTATTGGGATCGCAGAAATTCAACCATGCTACCATCTATTTAATTTATCATTATTTTTTGCACAGATTCAGCGTTTGATTGTGAAAAAACGCATTTATCATGATAGACGAAGTATTGTCTACTAATTTTCAGTTTTTCTGAATGCCCTAAAAAATTTCCACTTGTATTTCTACTTGAATCAGACAGAACAAAATCATGTGATAGATTACGACTGCGATAGCTCGTAGAGTTGTAGGTTCAATTGATTGAGATGGTATAGGAATTAATATTCTGGTCGTGTATGGTATGGATTGGTTTCCTGATCGATCAAGTTGAATCTGTCTCCTTAACATTGGGGCTTCAGACTTGATCGCTTATGCTTAACTACTTAACCACATATAATTCGTAAGAAATCATCTCCTACAAGAGCACCCAACCTTTTTGGTAAGTTGGCAAATGGCAACCATGGGAATTCACTGTACACAGTTTCTATTGGAGGCTGTAACTCACACCTCTGTCGTTGTTAGCAATCTCAAATGATTGCAGTTATGCAATGTGGGGTGTTCACGAATGTTAACAAGAGTTGTGGTGTGATCTGGTTACATTGAGGGCATAGTGTGTCAGAGCGTGGCTGTAGTTCAGGGTTAATTGATGAATTTACGATGGCAGTGAAACTGTGAAAGTCAAGGTTTGCTGTTGGACGCACCTGATTATGTGCTTTTCCTTTTTGTCCTGAGTCAGCAGTTTGATGGTCCTTCCGTAATACGTTCTCGTGGGCTATCCCGTCTTCAGTTTGATTTCCTTGCAAACAGAGTCACAGACTCAAGTCAGGACATTTGAAAACAACTTCATTTCTTCAATTCATAAATTGTGGCCAAGTTGTTTTGAATTATGATTACTGATTAGACACTTTTGTGGAAACCCTCATATCCAAACATCTGAAGATATTATGCATGTTTGTTTGAAATCTCAATACTAGGCCAAAAACTCATTTAGGACGACAATTTTGAGAAAACTATCCAGGGACCAGGGCGGCCTACTATGCCTGTTGAAATTGTTTCTGCACTGATTTTTCTTTTTAGAACTAGATTCCTGGACTCTGACTGAACAAGAAGATTTTCCCGCTGAAAGTGGACATTGTATATTGTTGGTGCTTCAGCGGACATTGTATATTGTTGGTGCCTAGTACGATCACGAGTTGCTATGGATCTATCGTGCATATGCCGCATGCAGATCTTTGGAGGGACACATAATTGACTCTCCTTAATTTAATGGCTACTGCTAATTGGTGGGCATATGCACCTTCCTGTTTTCGAACTTATGATTTGTCACTGTGATAAAATAAGTTGAAGCCGTTTTCCATATATATTTGGTAATTCATGTTCTTGCGATCTCCATTTTGTTCCATGACCATCATGTTCTTCATTTGCAAAAGAAAAAGAGAACCGCTAAAATCCCCTTTGGTTTCTTTCCTGAATTTGATCTAGCTAACTTTATTTTTTCTAACTCGTATATAACCAAACCATCTGTTTTGTTCCAGCTTGTGGTGACGAGGAAGATCATCCTATTGCTCGCTGAGAATCACCTTCAGAAGAGTTCCCTGAAGAAAACCAGAAAATGCATGGACACAGTCAAATAACATCGTCTCTGTATATATGGATTTTTGGTTGTTCGCTGATGTGGCTCAAAGATGCCACTGGCAAATATACATAGAAGTATTTTTTTTATGTAGAAAATTAATGTAGTTATACTTCAGAATCAACATGTGTGCTCTAGAAAGTCGTATTTACATTCAGGGTACTGTGCTTCTCCCGTCACATTTATCCTTACCTCTGTACGTTCTAGACGTGTTAAACGCCTATCGCTGCATTCATGGTTACCCTTCGCTCGACATTTTAATCTGATTGGGCCAATGGCCGATCACAGGAAAGGTTTGATTCTACGCTCTAACTCCTGGGGATAGCGTAATCTTAATGCATAGATCAAGGGCAATTTTCATTACTTTATCTTTCCTGTGGTCATGATTTTGTGCAACTCATGCACAAACACTCTGGTCATTGGCTGGTTGAAAAGTGGTTGACCATATATGGTCTGGTTGAAACATTCGCACCATTTCAAGACCATTCACATTGCGCCCCCGCCTCGTCCTCCCCCACGGGCGACACGGGAGGCGGAAACCGCCGGCCTCGCCCGCTCCTCCCCCCTCCTCCCTCTGCCGCCTCGCCGCCGCCCGAGCGGCCGCCGGCAAAGCCGCGCGGCCGCAAGGACGGCGGCGGCGGGGCTTCACCCTCGTCTTCGTCTCCCTCTCCCGTCGCGGTGGGGGGCCGCGCGCGGGATGGCGAAGACCGCCCAGATCCGGGCCGCCGCGGCCGGATCTGGCGGGGAGGCCGCCGGAGGCGGGTCGGTGTGAGGTGGCGGCAACAGTTGGTGGTGGTGGCGGCGGGGATTTGAAGGTGGCGGGGTGCAGGCGGCAGTTTGGTGGCGGCTGGCGCCGGGGAAGGCGACGACGTGGCGGGGAGACGGCGACGGCGACAGGATGTCGTGCGTGCTGGTGGCGTGCTGATTCTCTTGCTGGGGGCGTCGGCGGAGGGGTTGGAGATGGCGGCGGGATGGAGGTCGCGGCGAGGCTGGTGACGGAGGCCGAATCTGCCCGTGAGGCTGGCAATCGGCGACCGGACCCACGGCGCTGGACACTGGTTTTGCCCCGGTGACGGTCGCGATGGCAGCGGAGAGCTCGGCGACGGCGTTGGGGCGGTTGCGTTGGCGGTGCCGGCGGTTTGCGACGACGACTGCTGGCGTCGGTGGCTGGTGACAGCGGCATCAGCAACGGCGGCCGACTTGCAGCGGCCGTGACTGAGGAGACGGTGGCGACGTCAAAGGATGCGACAATGGAGGCGGGGAAGGAGTTAGGTGTGAGGTGACGGCGGCGACGGTGAGGTGGTGACCGTGACGGTGGTGGGAGGAGGCATGGCGGCCTCGGATGGCTTGCCGAGGGCGTGGCAGACGGCTGCATCGGCCAGCGCAGCATCGTTTGGATGAGGGGTCGGAGACCGGCTGGACGCAGAGTGGCGTAGCCGATGGCAGCGGAGGCCGGCTCGGCGCGAGAGGCGCGGGCGGCGGAGATGGAGGCCGGCTTGGCGCGAGAGGCGCAACCGATGGAGGGAGGCCGGATTGGCGTGAGAGGCGCGTCCAGTGGAGGAGGCCGGCTTGGCGCGAGAGGCGCGGCCGGCGGTGGAAGAGGCGACCTCGGTGCGTGGTGGAGCTGCCGGTGGGTGTGGCGTGGTCTTCGGCGCACGAAGGCTGGCCGGCGGGGCGTCGGTGCAGGGGCCCTACATGTCGGCATAGTTTGAGTGGTGGTGGAGCATCGTGCATCAGCCGTAGATTCGCAGGTGGTGAGCGGCGGGTGAAAACCCAGCCCGGCCTTGGCCGGACCGACAACGATGAATTCCCCCTCATGAGGGCGTTGTCGTGCTGTCTCACCCCTCAAGGGTGATTGCCGGGCGAAAGTCCAGTCTTGGCTCCTTTGAGCCCTGATGGACGGCGGCGGCGGTCTTCCGTCGCTTCTCTTCTTGAAGATGTCGTTTTGGCACCCTCTTGCTGTAGGGTGATCTCGTCTGTGTTCCCTTGTTGGTCTAGCGGCGGCCGGTCTGGTGCTAACCTTCTCCTGGTCATGTGTGTTGGCGCTGCCAGTGTGTGGGTGGTGGTATATTTTTTTTCTTTCTCTTGGTTATGACCCTTCAAGGTTGTAATCTTGTAATTTTTTCATACTCTATCAATAGAACTTCGCATCGTCTCGTGCGAGTCGTTAAAAAAAAAACATTCGCACCCAACCACCCAACCAAGGCAATGATCATGAGAGCCCATTCTTCTACAGATGGTACGATCCATATCAGGGAGGGCCCATACATTCAACTGCTCACGGCTCTTTTCGCGGTCCTAAATGGGCCAGCCCACTATTTGTTTTGCCCAAAAGGGCCCAAGTATAGAAGAAGCCCAACACCGGGACATTCGCGTCGTCTTCCCCTCCGTCTCCGATGGCCGGAGCGACGCCTCCGCAGCCTTCGGGGTTCGGATCTCTCCACTCCGTATCCTCGCCTACTTGGGTTCCGTTCTACCACCATCTTTTAGGACCCCTTTTCTCGTCCTCGCGGTCTCCTTGTGGTCACCTGAATTGAAGGATTGGGGATTTCGCCTTCCTCTCCACGAACTCACCTTGCCGCGCGTCGAGGGAGGAGGGAATTACTACCACCGGGTGACTCGTGGTTTCGTACGCAGAAGGTGGCGAAATGGACGAGTTCTTCATCGGGCTCGAATCCCGGCTGCGGCGCTCGGTGAAGGTGGCGGACTCCGTCATGATGGGGCTCGTGAACGCCGCCATGGAAGACGCCTACAAGAAGAGCCTCTGGAAGGACGGCGACCTGGAGCGCCTCGTCCAGAAGCTCCGCTTCGCCGAGCTCGCCATCATGCAGCTCGAGTGGAGCCTCCGCTTCGTGCGCGGCGAGATGGAGTCCGGCTCCGGCGGCGGCGGCGACGGCGACTGCCACGAGCAGCTGCTCGACGACCTCCTCGAGACGCGCGACCGGATCCAGGCCCGCCTCGACGAGGCCGAGCTCGCCGTCGCCGACAAGGACCGCGACTACATGCTCCGGAAGCACGAGGAGCTTGCCTCGTCGCGCCGCGAGGCGGCGGTGCCCGCCGTCTCCGGCCGTGCCAGCGCGCTCCGCCGGGAAGCCGACGACGACGAGGAACGCCGCGTGTTCGGGGAGCTGAAGGGCTCGGTGGACCGGCAGATGGCGAGGATGAGGTTCAGGCTCGAGGACGCGCGGTCCACGCTCATGGCGCTCATGGAGACGGTCAGCGGCGAGGCGTCGCCGATGGCGAGGCTGCAGGAGGCCGGGCACGAGGGCGACGGGGTGAAATGCTTGTCAGGATTCTACAGCATGGCGCAGCTGCTCATGGAGTTCCAGGAGATGGTCCTCGACGCCGGCGCAGTGAGCGACAGCGTCACATCCTCGTTCGAGTTCATGGAGAGGTCCGTCTCCTCGTTGAAGGAGGCCATGGACGAGCAGCAGTGGCTGGCTAACGTCGAGAAGGAGATGTACGCAGCGACCATCAATGGTTTTCTCAGAGAGATCAGTGCGGGATTTCCAGTTCTGAATGATTGTTCTTCTCCGGGAGAGAGGCAGCCACCTACTGAGAATATTTGGGAGGAAACTGAACATCTGAAGGAAAAAACCGAGCACAATCAGAAGAGCCTGAAGGGAGATCAATGCGGGATATCTGGTTCTGAATATCTGACAACAACAAGGCCTGCGGCAACAGGGCAATGTTATTCAGAAGAGCCTAGCATCTGTCATGAGGAGGTTGAGAGGCTTATAGAAGAAAAGATTGATTCGGAGATCAGATGTGAACTGCAACATGTGTTACATTCAGAAATATTCAGAGACTTGGTGAGGAAATTGGCTGTTCTGGATGTTCAGAAGCTAACTGAAGAAAATGGTGAACTGAACATCAGAGTTGAACTACTCTGTGAAATATATACTACAGTATTTAAAGATTTGGTGAGTAAACTAAGTTCAGAATCTGCTGAACATTTTATCAGGACCTTCATCAAAGATGAAGTAGAAGCTGTCATTTTTGCCCGGACTTTAAAAGAAATTAAGAGTGTGACTGAAATGGTTCGCAGTGAGAAGCATATCAAGGAAGAAAACAATTGCAGTTTTCCTGGGGAAATAGAAAAGGGTTTAGAACAAAATATTGATTTTAATGTGCTCAGATTCCCAGATGAAAATGCATGCACCAATAATTTGGGAAGATTCAGTATGATTGGCAATATTGAACAACTATATACTATGAAGATGCAAACTAGTGGTGCTAGTGAAGATAAATGTACAGATTATTATCAGGTACCTCTTGAGAAAGAGATTTTAAGCAGCCCTGGTAATTGTGACAGGCAAGATTCAGAAGAAAATTATCTGCTAGCTGAAATATCAACAGGAAAAGATGGTGTTTCTGATGCATGGAATGGCAATGTTGAGCAGTCTTTGCAGCAACAGGATCATAGGAAGCTGCACGTGGGAGACACAGCTTTAAATCTGAGCATACCTCCTGAAGAAGCGAATACAGAGAATGCCGAAATGACCTTGATTCTTAATGAGAAACTTGATGTGATTCACTCAACAGGTTCAAATTCCATGCTTGCTGAACAGGATCACTTTGATCTGCAAATGGCTCTAGTTTCATTCACTGGTTTCCAGGAAGTGTTCATGAATTTTGAAGCTGTTACCTGCGAAAAGTTAGAAACAGCTATGCTGAGGTTGGTACGTTTCTTCGATAACTTTTCATACTCATTTTTTTTTGAACGCCGGCAAAAGCTTTGCCTTTTATATAACTTTTCATACTATAGCACACACGGAGGATAATCTCAAAATTACATTTGAAGTGAAGTTAGGTATGCAATTGCAAACTCAGTAGGGATGATTATGCAGATTGAATTATTTGAAAAAGCAACAGGGAAATCTGATTGAACAGATGCGCTCTCTTAAAATGAGCGAACAGAGTTATCAGATAGCTTTCATCAGGCGATGCCACGATCTCCAAACTGCGGAAGCAGAGGTTAGAGACATTGACACTTTTTATCTCAGGGGGAAAACGGCTTAGTACTGATTCCCAATACCAAAATGATTCAGTGCAATAGGAAGATGCTTTATCTTTGTTTGCTCTGAATGATAGGTGGATCTGCTTGGTGATGAGGTGGAACTGCTTCTTGGACTTCTCAGGAAGACATATAAAGCGTTGGATCGCTATTCACCGGTTTTAGAACACTATCTCGGGGTAATGTTATGATTTTGTGCCATTATGAGTTAGATTTATAAAGCAAAGCTATTGCAGATACTACTGAGTACGGCATTGCTCGAATATCTAAATAATCATACCTGAAATGGTATAGTTGAGTTTGTTCATTTACTTTTTCAGGTTAGGGAGATGCTGAAACTGCTTGGGAAGGAGCTAGCCCTGAGGCATCAGGTTTAGTACAGTGTTGTTCGTATCAGTCTGTTGATCAGTGAAACATATGCTTCATACACCCAGATTAACCCATAGACCTGGTTCAGGTGCATGTATTTTCTTTCGCTTGTAGCTTGTTTATATTTTAAAGAAAACATTAGGATCAGTCAATAAAATACGATCATTTTCTTTTTCGAAAGATCGATGAGATACGATAATGTATCGTGTGATTTGCTAATTCGCTCTCATCTGCTGTCATGCTGTCCTCCTTGGCTGATGCTGCCAATCGCTGGTAGGTAGGCCGGGACGGCCGGACAGCATGAGGCGGTGAGGCCCATTGGACCATTAATAGTTGGGCTGAAACGGGATTACGGTGGACGTGCGGACCATATTGATTGGGCCGAAACGCGGAATCGTACGGCCCAAAATAGTTGGGCCGGAAATGCTCCATGGTGATTTGTTACTGACACTTCTCGAAGTTTCCAGTGGTTTACGCCACTGCACAAAGCAGCCGTACCCGCCGGCCGCCGCCGGATCGCCGACTTTGCACGGGGAACTCGCCGTCCCGGCCTCACTCGGCCAGCCATGGAGCTCGACCTCCCGCCGAAGCAACAAGCCCCGCCGCTCGCCGACCTCGCCGTTGCCATCCACCGGGCCGCCGAGGCCACCGCCGCGCTCTCCGCACCCTCCTCCTCTTCCCAAGCCGCCGCCGCCGCGGTGGTCGCCCTCCGTGACGCCCACGCCGCTATAGGCGGCTTCCTCTATCGCCTCGACGTCTCAGTCCCTGCCTCTTCTTCGTCCAGCGACGATCAGCCGATGGCGGACGGCTGCGAGGAGGAGGGGGAGGGGGAGCAGCAGATGGTAGAGGAGGTGGAGGAGGGTCTCCGGGAGTGCGCCCTGCAGGGGAGCAAGCGGCGGAAGCGGCCTGTGCCGCCGTCGTGGCCCCTAGGGCGCCGCTCGAGTGGCGGTTGCGTGGTGCCGGAGGCCGCGCCGGCTCCTCTGGACGTGGAGGGGCGGCGGCGCGCTGCCATGGATCTCTTGCTACAGTTCCATGGGTAGGATGAGGTGAGGAACTGATGATTCGGTGCTTATCATGTCTAACATTTTCATCTATATTGTGCATACCAGTGCGTTGCAACGGCATTTGGAATTATGGGGTTTAGTTTTTTTTTGTATCCGATTTTTGTGTTGATATTTTAGGTAGTTTTCTAAGGAGGCGGTTTTTGGGAACTAAGATGGTGGGGAGGACTTTGCTAGTTTGCTTTTAAAATGTTAGAGAAATTAGGTTAGGGGGGTTTGGGTTTGTTGATGAGAGGGAAATGAGCAATGATGAGAACTATTCCGTTTACTATCTTCCCAATCCCAGTGATAATCAGTGTTTGACTGTGGACATGTTACTGTACCATTGCTGGTGGTACTAGACTTCTTCAACTACCTTGTTGTGGATAATTGTGGCATTAGGAAAGTTGGGGATTGAAAACTGAAATCTTTACATTTTGCAAATGTAAAGAAAAAAACTGCAAAGAGATGAGCAACGTGTTTGTTGTGAAGGATGTATTGAGTAGTAGTATGCTGAATATGGTACGCATCTCAGGTAGGAGTGTAGGATAACAATCTCCAAAATTCAGCAGCATAAAAGATAGAAATAGAAATACAAACTTTACTCCTTAAGAAAATAATCATTTCAGAGTAACTCAGGCTGTTGTGGTGAATTGCTCAATTAGAAAAAATAAATGCCTCGATGCATTGCGTGCATACTGTGTAGCAAACCCTCTTGTGCTAATGGGGAAAGTCTTGGGCACTTATCAGCCCATCTTTTTTCACCGCAATGCTCGTCAAGCTCCTTCAAGAATATTTTCTTCTAGTTTTCCTGCCTGTGTTAGCAACTGATAGTAGATACAGTCGATAAATCTTTTCTGGAAGCACTATACCCTTCATTTATATCGTATTGATCTCTACAAGTTTGCACTGTACTTGTAATGTTGTGAGCTCATATGAGGAGTAAAATTAATTTGGGTTCCATCCTTCTATGCAATGTTGCAATGAAGCAAACCTTCTACGGTTCTACCTGTCAACCTGTGCTTGTACTTATACTTCTCCAGCATGAAAACTGAAATATATCCGCGCCATATAATAGCGGGTCTGCTTACTAGCATACAGCCCCATCCTTCGATACAATGTTGCAACCAAGCAAACCATCTACCTGAGCCTGTGCATCAATACATTGCATTGATATCTTCAACTCTTGTACTGATATTTTTTTCTCATTTTTCAGTGCAGGGTTCATTGGCACAATACGAACGAAATGATGAGGCGCCTACTGAATAGTCCATACCAAGTTTGTAGGTCATACACTCGTGCTGTTCTTCACGAAGATATACACAAACATATCAAACAAACCACAAGCAAATAGGTGAAATCACCAACCTTCCCAATACTGAGGCAGCTAGAAATCAACACTTCAGCAGTGAGTGTGAGACAGAGCTAGTATCAAGCAGTACTCATCAACATAATGAGCCACTTAGCCTTACAGATTGTGTTATTTCCCAAAAAATAAAAAGTGAGATGAAAGACTCAGATTTGAGTCCCAAGATTGTTTTGTTTTTCAGTAAATGGGCTGAATCATTTGTCTCCTCAGGCGTTAATTCGTTATCCCCTGTACCTCCTACGCCACCAGTCTTATGAGTGGATTGACAGTTGCTTGCTCAAACATGTTCCTGGAAGGTATTTATTTTACATCTAATATTTTTTATTTGGGGTTCAGCGGGCATTTGTTTTGATTGTTTCTTATTACTCCCTCCGATTATAAATATTTGATATTTTTGAACAAGATTTGATCAAACTTTTAAAACTTTGATCATCAATAACATCTCAAAATTCTTAGCTTAAATATGAAACAAATGGTTTTGCGTAGGTTTGCCTTGAAGAATACTGTCATATTATCATAAGATTTTTAGATTTTTACAAACTTTTTGTAACATTAGCTGATTGTCTGCTCGTTGCAACGGATCTTAAATAAGAACATTGTCAATTGTCATACATTTTAAAGCCCTAAGTCTATCTAATCATCAAACCGTTTTGCCATCAATTTGCATATCACATCAGTTAATTTCTGGAAATCTATCACTTGGAATTTTGTATATACTTTGAGCTAACCACACATGTATAGCTTTATAAGGAACAGAAAGTTGGTGATAAGGGTGATGGCAGATTCATCATATACCCGCACCGCTTATTTAAAAGTATACTCCAGTATAGATAAAATTGATATAGATGGTAAAAGTTTGAAAGTTGAATTAAATCTGGCCCAACACGCACTCAGGGAAGTACCTGTACTTCCTACAAGACTTTGCAGCGTTTCATCCATTGAAAAGTCAGTTGGGCTGCAAGGCTTGCAGCTGTACAGGATATGGAATTCTTCAAAGATTTTTGTACTCACTAGTAGAACACATGGCCCACTGAATAGTGGGACCGGTAAACGAAGTATCATACATCGCACGGTTTTTTTCCCGCGACCACAGCGATCAGCCACAAAAACAAACGAGTCAACTTTCACAAACAAAGCGAGAGCAACAGTATCAATCTACACTGCGCAACCGGCAACCAAACCCCAAGTCAGGCTTCCAATTCCAACTACCACCGCTTCACCATGGCCGCTCCTCTCTTCCTCCTCCTCCTCCTCCTCCTCGTCTCCTCCGCCTCCGCGGGTTACGAGGAGGAGGCGCTGCTGCGGCGCGCGGAGGAGGAGCGGGACTGGATGGTGGGCGTGCGGCGCCGCATCCACGCCCATCCGGAGCTCGCGTTCCGGGAGCACCACACCAGCGCCCTCGTCCGCGACGAGCTGGAGCGGCTCGGCCTCACCGCCCGCGCGGTCGCCGGCACCGGCGTCGTCGCCGACGTCGGCTCCGGCCTCCCCCCCGTCGTCGCCCTCCGCGCCGACATGGACGCCCTCCCCGTCCAGGTCCCACCTCTTCCCCCTTTTTCTGATTTCGGTCGTACTAGCTTGTAGGAATTCCAAAACCTGCATCTCAGCATCTCTGTCCATCGGTGGTACCAAGGAGTGAAGGATGCGGAGCAGCTTCTGATCGCTCATGCTTTGCTTTAGTTCGTAGTTCCACTCTAAATCGCTTATTTTGAGGGATTGATTTGTACTACGACCGGGGTTTCTCTTCGTTGAATTGACTTCATTCGGTTGGTTGTGGTGGTAAAGGAATTAGTGGAGTGGGAACACAAGAGCAAAGTGGATGGTGTGATGCATGCCTGCGGTCATGATGTGCACACCGCGATGCTCCTGGGAGCTGCAAAGTTGCTTAGTGAGCGCAAGGAGCAGATCAAGGTGTGCTTTCTTATTTATTCTGATCTGAAAGGATTTTGCAGTTTTAATTTGGCATGATGTCGTAAACTGATCTTATGCAAGTTCAGATTTTCATGCACATAGCATTGGCCATTTCACATGTTTTAAGAGATTCCCTGGAGTCAAATATTTATTGTATAGTGACATTGCATGATGATAAGGAATATCGACAAATTCCTCGTTCAAATGATTCTTGTGATGCAACTCAACAAATTATACTAGCCATCTGAAACTTTACATTAGCTACAGATTTTCCAAATATCTTTCAGTGCACATGCTAGTGAATACACCTAGATATTACAGGGATGAACAGATATTCATTTTTGTCACATCTATCTTTTATGATCAAGGGCACAGTGAGACTTCTTTTCCAACCTGCCGAGGAAGGTGGTGCGGGTGCATCTTACATGATAAAAGATGGTGTTCTTGATGGCGTTGAAGCTATATTCGGGATGCATGTTGACTATCGGATGCCAACAGGTGTAATAGCAGCTCATGCAGGGCCTACACAAGCTGCTGTATGTTTTTATGAAGCAAAAATAGAAGGTAAAACTGGAAAGGCTGAAACTCCACACTTAAATGTGGATCCTATTGTTGCTGCATCATTTGTCATCCTATCCCTGCAGCAGCTCATTTCAAGAGAAGATGATCCTCTTCACAGCCAGGTATGGCACTATATTTCAGTAATATTACTTACTTCTGGTAGTTCTTATTTAGTATGTTAATATGTTATAGAAAAGTGTTGCACATAAGCCAAAATGGAAAGAGAAGGAATGAAACCATGTTGGTTAACAAAAAGTTCTTTCTTGTCATAGACATGTTAATATGTTATTAGGGCTAGTGAGTCGGGGTCTCTTTAGAACAGTATTCAGTTATTACTCTTGTTGCGCAAGGTAAAGTGTAAATTATTAATAACAAGCTCCGGCATTTTGATGTTGTCATGTGGGGAAATATTCCTTATCGTCGAAGGACTCATGCACAAGCGCCGCACGGCAAGATTGACAAGGCTTCCTGAAGTTTACCTTTCCGTTTGTTTAGAGATTAGTTCTTGAGTTTGTTAGGAGTTTGATAGGATGAAGAGTTAGTATCAGTATCTATTTAAGGAGTTGTAATTCGTCAGGAGGAATTAAGAATTAAACCAAACACCTCATCTCCTATATCTGTTCTCCCTCAAGTCTCTCCTTTCTCTTGCGTGCCCTTATTCTCTTTTGCACGTTCTTTTCTTTCTTCTGTTTCGATCTATCACCATACCTCGCCAAATTCGACAATGGAGGCCACGGCCTCTGCACTTTCATCCATACAATCTTCGGCCGCTGCCGGGCCGTGACAGATGTGCTAGCTGCTACAAGGTCAACTCAACTTTAGATCATGTACTAAAAGGTGTTATGTTGTAACCATGCATTTGTTCAATTGTGGATCATTAGTCATCAGCACATGAGATAAAAGTTAAGGTCTTGTACATTTTCAATTGGCACCTAATATGCCATAGAAGGGATGATATTTTATTGGGAAATCTACTCTTGCATGCTGCCATGATACTCATTTTGATTTATAGTTCTCACATTTATTGAGACAATATGTTTTGTAATTTATTTGGATACCTTTAAATTCTCTAGTAGAACTATTTGGGGCAAACAACAGGAAACTGTGCATGTTTCTGAATATTATTAATTTGTTGCCTTCAGGTGCTCTCAGTTACCTATGTCAAGGGTGGGAACACTATTGATGCCACACCTCCAGTTATTGAATTCGGAGGTACTTTGAGGAGCCTCACTACTGAAGGTCTATATCGTCTACAGAAAAGGGTCAAGGAGGTTAGCCCTATGGCATCCTTTTATTCTCTATAAGCCTAAATTAGCATTTTTGCACAACTTTGTTGTCCTGTTACCATTGCTAGTACTTTCATAGCAGTCCGCTGAGGACTTCATATCATTAACCTTGCATTGTTCTCTCTCTCAGACTCAGCAACACATTCAAGATTCAATTGCATATACAGAAAAAAAAAATGCTATCACTAACTTGTATTTAGACCAACTGGGTTATGGATTACGGTCCTGTTCTTGTAATCAGTGCTTCATGCCTTTTCTTTGCAAATGGCATCCGCTCAAAGCTAACAGTGTGCTAGTGTATGCATATTTGCGGACAATCATTATTTCAAACTATCAGATAACTTGCTCGACTGTACAGTAGATCTTGAATATAAATGTTGTCCCATTTCCCAGGTGGTAGAAGGGCAGGCAGCTGTGCACAGATGCAAGGGAGTTGTCCAGATAAAAAGGGACGACTACCCAATGTATCCAGCTGTCTTTAATGATGAGAAACTGCATCACCATGTAGAAACTGTGGGCAGACGATTACTTGGTCCAGACAAGGTGAAGCCGGGAGAGAAGATTATGGCTGGCGAAGACTTCGCTTTCTACCAACAGTTAGTTCCTGGAGTTATGTTTGGCATTGGTATTAGAAACGGGGAAGTTGGTTCAGTTCACACTGTTCATAACCCTAAGTTCTTCGTTGATGAGGATGTTATCCCAATTGGAGCTGCACTGCATACTGCCCTTGCAGAAATGTACCTTACTGAGCGCTCCACAGAAGGTGAAGACGGAAGCCAGCATTCGCATTGACATTCGTGCGTTGAACAGTTCGAGTGTACAAGTATCCAAGAGAATAATCATGCTTCAAGAATCCAGATGATCATTTTAGTAGCGTGCAAGGCGTTCTTGTACTCAGGTATGCTCGAGTAATGACAAGAAATATATACACTGTATTACTCAATGATCACTGTACAACATCCAACATACAAAAACCGAACTGGAACTGACAATCTCAACAGAGGCATCAATACATACACAAATTACGACTGAACCAAACCTGACGGATCACGAGATGAGAGACCCATTGGAAGAGCAATGCAAAAGCGTGCACGAACAGGACATGCCTACGCTACGCCGAAGGAGGTGGCGCGAGGAATGGCACCGGCACGTTGGCGGCCGGAATGGCAGGCATCGGAGGCAACGCCACCTTGGGGATCCCGGCTGGAATTGGGGGCATCGTCACCTTCGGCACAACGACGGCGGGCACGGGCGGCAACGTGACCTTCGGCACCGCCGGCATGGGTGGCACCGTGACCGTGGACACGGTGACCGCCGGCACGGCTGGCATCGGTGGCAAGGTGACCGCGGGCACGGCAGGCATGGGTGGCATCGTGACCTGCGGTACGGTGGCCGCGGGCACGGCTGGCATTGGTGGCATCGCTGTGGGCACGGGCAGCTTCGGCACGGCGGGGATGCTGCCGGGGACGGCGGCAGGAGACGCGGTGGGAGTAGCTGATTCCGTGGCGTCTGCCAGGAGGCGAGCGGCGTAGCTCACGTTGGTGCCAATGAGAGCGAGCGCCATGACGAAGGCTAAGCAGCTGCCGGAAGTAGCGGCCATTGCAGGAGGGAAGCCGCGTGTGATCCTTGGTTTGTAATGTGACTGATCCAAGGATTGGTTCTCCTCTGCTTAGTTCTCGTTTGCTTGGTGCGAACTAGGAGGATTCGTGCATGCGTATTTATATACACAGAAGACTAGATTGATCACGCCATCAGGGTGTGATCCGATCATCCGATCGGTTAGATTGGTAGTTGACCAGATTAGCATGGCATCCCTAGGCGAAACGGGTTGTTTTAGGAGTCAGTGATGCCCTGACCCCAGTTCGACGAGGGAGCTGTATCGACGTGACAACCCGCGTAGCGATCTGCTATGTATTTCTCAGGTTAGTTCACCTCCCAATTGGCTCGAAACTAACGCATGACATGGGCGTATTGTGCTACTGCACCAACAATTGGCTCAACCACAACCACTAGCAGAAAATTTTCCCATATACTCGTAGTTGAATAGATAAGTTTCGGCACAGGGAACCAGAGATCGGGAACGGTAGTGGTAGTGGAGTTGGGTTGGCTAGGAAAAACCGGGCACGCTCTCTGGCTCCGACGCCGCGACGCAGATGCGCTCGGGCGCGTTTTTGCAGAGAGCGGAGAGCCGGAGAAGCACGGGATGTACAGGCAGTAGTGCAGTACGCGTGTTGACGGATGGAGATTTAGAGGGCTTTCCAAGGAGTTGGGCCGGCTTGCGTGGAGTGTGGGCAATTTGGTTGGACTAGTATTGGGCCCGTAGCTCAAGGCTGGAACAGAATCTCTGGCCCAGGGTGTTGCAGGCTGAAATTTCTGGCCTTACGGGGCCTAGTTCGGTAGCTAGGAGCCCAACCTACCCCGAAGGCCGAAAGCCATGTGAAGTTAGCCAACAAGCACAATGTGATTGCCAATGAATTCATGTTTGAGTGACTCCGGTCGGCACCGACTAGTTGCCTTGACACTCATGATGCACGCCGCTCAATCTGATTGGCCGCATCCTCAACGCTGATCACGTGTACCCGTCCATCCCACTGTCAGGTCGGTAGCTGTAGCTCCCATTACGAAGCCAAATACACACACGACGATTGTAGCTACCCGTGCTCTTTGTCTAGCTTGTCATACTGAATTCGTAGCCTGCCGGCCAGCATCAACATGCCTGACCCTTGCCAGCCAGCTCCTCGGCGTTCCAAATCCAAAAAAACATCCACACATGCGCGCACCATCACCTCTAAACCAGCGCACAAATACTTTCTTTCTGCACCTGCCCGCTGCGAATTTTACCGGTACCAATGAGATTGCCGGGTGTCGGGTGCTGGCTGTATTTGGAAATTTTAACCCAACCCGGTCTCCAATGCACTGCTGATATGAAATGGCTAGTTTTGAATTTCGAACTGGACTTCGAAACTGCTATATAAACCCCTACAGTCTGGCGTCCCCCGGACCGTGCTAGCTGCTCAAGTTCGTGTACAACATCCTCACAGATTCCATCGCTATAGTTGAGCGCAGGTGTTCCTAAGGAAGCAGAGCAAATGGCTCCCATCTCTCGCCGCATTGCGCCCCTCCTCTTCCTGATGCTCCTCATCCTCGTCGCCTCAGGTTCATACACTTGTCCTCTCGTCATCAGTCAATCAGTAGTATGAAGAAGAACAGAAACCAATGTGATGTATTGGATTACGTTTGATGGATTGTGCTGTACCATTCGTGCGTGCAGAGATGGGGACGACGAGGGTGGCGGAGGCGAGGCATTGCGTGTCGCAGAGCCACAGGTTCGTGGGCGCGTGCATGAGGAAGAGCAACTGCGAGCACGTCTGCATGACCGAGGGCTTCCCGTGGGGGGAGTGCAGGTTCCACGGCATCGAGCGCAAGTGCTTCTGCAAGAAGCGCTGCTAGCCTGCTTAGCCGGAGAGGCCCAGCCCCAGGCCACCCGCTGATCGATCGATGATCCACCAAGCCAAGCCAAGGCGCCATTCCCCCCATCTCGCTGGTCACAGTCGTCGCTCACCTACTCTCGTGTAGTAGCCCTTCTCTTTTGATGTTATCGTGCACGCGAACTGCTGTCGACTTGCCTGGTCTTGTAGTAAGTTTGCAACGTGTCTTTACTTACCTGGAACAATAAAAACTTTGGTCGTTGCTCCGATTGCTTGGCTGCATATGTATGCCTGTTGTTCTTTTGGCGTGACACGTACGAGGGGTTTCAACTTCCGAAACCTCGCGTTCACGAGACAGTGCGTAAAGACGATCGAGCAGGGCTAGCGAATCAATCACAATATCGAAAAGGAATAAGTTCACTTTAGGTCCCTCTATTTGTCGCCCAGTCCGATTTTCGTCCCTTGATCGCAAAACCGGGTATGACCTGTCTCCTAACTTACAAAAACCGGACAAACGCGGTCCCTCGACGGTTTGGAAGACGGTTTTGGCTGACGTGGCGCATACGTGGCTTGTTTGACTATGTCTCCATCCCATGTGGCATTGACGTGGCGCTTACGTGGCAATTATATCTCAGCAAAATAATAAAAAGTGTGGCCCCACATGTCAGCTGCAAAAAGAAATAATTATAAAATAGTAGGGCCATGTGGGCCCTACATATCAGCCTCACTCCTCTCTTCTTGTAACGTCCTGCCTCAGCTTTCATAGGTCATAGACTGCCCGCTTACATCTGGCAGCTTTCATAGGTCATAGACTGTCCTCACAGACCAACACAAGCCTTTCCTGCACACTTTGTCCTCACTCGTGCGCACCCGGGATCCCGGTCGGTCACCCATCCCAAATTGCTCTAGGTCAAGCACGCTTAACCCTGGAGTTCTTTAGAGATCGGCTTCCGGAAAAGAAGTTACAACTTGTTGATATGAGTATTCTAGTAATTCTATTAAGCCCTAGGCCGGGATGTTACAGCTGTCGACCTTCGCTAACCACCAGACCATCCATGCCACAGCCACCGGACCATCCATGTCGCCGCCGCCGACCTCCGCGCGCGCCGGGACGGCATCGCCGAGCGCCTCTACACCGCGCTCGTTGTCCTTCCGCCGCCTACGCCGCGCTTGAGCTGTGTCGAGCTCCCTCATCTCCCGCCGGCGAGCTAGAAGGGCGGCGGACGGCTAGGCGAGCTCCCTGGCACAACCAATCGACCAAACAAATTCATATCTCTTTCTCTTTGATCTCTTCTCCCTGCTCAATCTCAAGAACGTATATTTTGTGTTCGACAAATTTTCATCAAGAAATCTCAAGAACACGTCGTGTTCAGGCAAAAGAAAGACAAGAGGCGATCGATGGCAATGGCCATGCGAAGTTGTTCATCACCGGGCTGAGCATGACGATCACCTGCTCCTCCGCGGTGGTGTTCAAGGGCGCCGCCATGGCCGTCGTGCTCCTGCTCAGGCTGGTCCAGCTCCCGGGCTACCTCGGCTACCTCCTCATCCGCGCCATCAGAGCTGCCGTCGAGGGGGCCGTGGTGGCCGCCTTCGCCGCCGCCAGGGACGCCGTCGCGGCGGCGGCGGACGCCGCGGCGGGGTGGAGGGACGCCGCGTCGTCGAACAGCACCGCGGCGGTGGCATTCATGCAGGCCGCCATGGGGAGGCCCGAGGCGCTGCTCGCCGAGATGCTCGCCATCTTCGGCCTCGTCGCCTTGCTTTCATGCAGACCATCGTCCCAGCGCACGCGGAGGGTGTCTGGGTGCTCGGCGGCGGCGACACGGATAGTGGCGTCGAAGAAGGCGGCGACGCGACGGAGAAGAAGGCGACGACGCAACGGAGGAGAAGGAAGGAGAGAGGATAGAGAGAGAGAGAGAAAAAAAAGAATAGAGAAAGAGGGGTAGGGAGGATGACAGGTGGGGTCCACGTGGCCCCCACCATTTTGAAATTATTGTGTGTGTGAAACTGACATGTGGGTCCATAATTTTTATTATTTTTCGGATCGAATTGCCACGTATGCGGCACGTCAATGCCACGTCAGATGAAGACCGAGTCAATTAGCCACGTAGGCACCACTTCAGTTAAAAACGGAGTCAAATACTACCGAGGGACCTTATTTAAACGGTTTCGTAAGTTGAGGGACCTGTCGTACCCGGTTTTGCGATTAAGGGACGAAAATCAGACTGGGTGACAAATAGAGGGACCCAAAGTGAACTTATTCCTATCGAAAACCACACTTGCTATTAAACGTGCCAGCCGGTGCCACCAGCCCACCATCGAAGACCGCGCGGCGTGCTTCACACAGTCCATCGGTTGGAGTTTCAAACTTGCCCAAAACAAGCCCAGAGAGAAGTAGAAGAACCAGGACTGCACTGATAAATGGCCGACTGTTTATTGTAGGCCATACCCAAAAAAACGTTCTTTCGGCCTCATAAGAATAGATCAACTGGCCCAAAACAGGTTGAGCCTGACTATCTTTTATCCTGTCCATTTTTGTCTATTTTATCCGGTTTTCTTGGAGTATCCCAAAATGACTATGTGAGTCCCTTGAGTTGGTTTTTATAGATCAGAATTTTTTTAAATGAAACACAGTACAAGCGCTAACGCCCATAACACGCGCACACTCATTTTTATGAACGCATACACGTACACCCTATCCCTATAAACGCATCCCGAAGACCGAGCCGACCTTTCTTGAGATCAACGAAGTCACTATAAACGTCTCGATGTCGACAGGTACGTCACCTACTACTAAAAGAATAATTAGTTGTAAATGCGAGCACCCTATCAAATATATGATTTGAACCCGGGTAGGCTAGTCCCACCACAAGGAAGCTAAACAGTTGAGCTACGCTCACTTTGCTTTATAGATTAGATTATATTATACTCCTTCCGTCGCATAATAAGTTTACTTTTAGATATGAATATAAATATAGGTCTGTCCGAATAAGTTTACTTTCAACATGAATGTGGACATAGATATTTAACAATAAGTTTATTTTTGGCCTATGTATATTCATATATATACATACATACATACATACATATATATATATATATATAAGTAAACTTATTTTGGAATATAGGGACCAGATAGTATGTGTATCAACAATTTTAAAGCATTAAAATAAAAATTAAAAAGTATAATGGCAACATGATAAGTTCGTATATCATTTGTTACTAAAATGGATAAATGATGTGCAACATCCTTGCCAAAAAAAACCAACACCGTTCCCCCCGCGTCGCCCACGCGCAGGCGACCGGAGGGCAAACCCAACCGCCGCCGCCGCCCACTTCTCCTCCTCCCCCTTTCAACATGAATGTGAACATAGATATTTCACAATAAGTTTATTTTTGGCCTATATATATTCATATATATACATACATACATACATACATACATATATATATATATATATATATATATATATATATATATATATATATATATATATAAGTAAACTTATTTTGGAATATAGGGACCAGATAGTATGTGTATCAACAATTTTAAAGCATTAAATGAAAATTAAAAAGTATAATGGCAACATGATAAGTTCGTATATCATTTGTTACTAAAATGGATAAATGATGTGCAACATCCTTGCCAAAAAAAACCAACACCGTTCCCCCCGCGTCGCCCACGCGCAGGCGACCGGAGGGCAAACCCAACCGCCGCCGCCGCCCACTTCTCCTCCTCCCCCAACCTCACTGTTGCTGGAGCTCGCTACTGGTAAAGCAGGCTGGAGAGCTAGGATGGCGTTCGCCGACGGCGGGAGTGGCAGCGGCGAGGTATCCCGGCTAGGAGTGGCAGATCCGGCCCCACCGCCACTGGATCTGGTGACCACTGGCAGCGCGAAGTGGAGGCAATGTGGCNGTCGGTGGCCGCTGCGGCGCGAGGCGGCGGAGTCCGGCGTGTGGGTGGTAGAATCACGGCGTAGCGACGACAGCTGGCTCCGTGGTCGGTGGGAGCGTCGGGTGTCCTCCGGGCCGCCCCTCGTCGCCGGCGGAAGCAGAGGCCNGCCCCCACCCCCACCCACCTCCCTCTCCCACCTCAACTACCATCTTCTATCCTTCTTTCTCTCTTCCTCTCTGTGTTGTCTCTCGGCACAAGCAGAACCTCCCTCTGATACCCAATTCCTCCCTTGCCTCCTCTCTCTTCCTCTATGTGCCGTCTCTTGGCACAAGCAGATGGGGGAGGCCCCTCCCCCCATTCCTTCATCCCTTCCTCTCGCCAGCTCTTCTGTCTAGTTGACTAGTTGCCCTGCTGATTGCCCCCGCGCTCCTCTCTCCGCTCTGGTGGTGAAGTTCGAGGTGGTTGCCGAAGTTGTAAGGATTGTCCCGCGAAGCCCGGAGATCATCGCCGAAAACATGGAAGACACCGATGTCTTTGTTGCCCGGTCTTCAGCTCTCAGTTCCTCTTCAGGCCTAGCAAGCCTCCTCTCCTCCTTGATGCTCCTCTCTTCTTTTGGCCGTCTGCTTTCAGACCCTGCCGTGAAGTCTTTCGGTGGTCGAGGAGAAGTGTTCGTTCGTGTGGTGATCTAGTCTATCTGTAGTCAGGGCTCTTGGGCCTCGCCGGTGCTTCTTGTGCCCTGTGACTGTCTAAACCTGTCATAGTGCCAAGTTTGGAACGGTGTGCTTACCCCATACGGAACTAGAGTTTCTGTGTTAAGGCGAAGTCAGAGCTGCTGCATCAGATTCAGCCGATGAGCTGGGCAACGATAACACTCGATACTCTTACTCTGGCTTCTTGGAGGTCCCACACCTTTGGAGGGAGTCTTGGGCGAAAGCACTGCCTAGTCTTCCAGGACCGGCGACATCGACGCCTGTGGGTACCGTTTCCTCCTTGGAGGTGTTGCCTTGTGGACTCTCTCCCCCTTTGGGTGAAAATCCAGTCTAGTTTTGGGCGGGTGTTGGCAGCGGCTTCTGTCGTTATTTACCTCCTTGGAGGCTTCGTCTTGAAGGTGTTGCTATTCCCTTGATCACTTCTGTGGTTCGTAGTTGTTTTGTCATAGGCTTTTTTTGTCTTCTGTATAAGGTTTTGCCGGTTTCCAAACTATGTAGTTGTATGGTTTTTAGGCCTAGTCTTCCTTATAAATAAGGTCAACTCTCTTCTTCTAATATATCCGGTAGAACTCCTGTTGTCTACTATTAAAAAACATCCTTACCCAATTAGAATTTGGCATGTGTGGCACATGAGAGCTGTGTGCGTATGTTTAGTACTAGCTTACTAGTTTAGCATGAGTGGAACCAACTGATAAATGCTTATATCCTTCTAACCCTATCACTCCAGGTTAACACTTTTACATGAAGCGAGGACAAAAGTATAAGTGGGGTGGTATGTGTAAGTAGGCCCCGCCCATCGGTTAGGCTGGGCTACGTGGTTCTGGAGGCCGGGTTATTACGAATGGTATCAGAGTCAACCCTCATGGTTGCGTATATAGATCAATGTGCGGGCATATGGCGTCGACACTAGACATATCGACGTGTGCTAAGAGGGGACGTGTTCCTGGATATTTGCCTATATGCGTGTGTGGTCCCTCCTAGCATATCACTCCCTAGTTAACTCTTTTACATGAACCAACTATATCACTCACTGGTTAATCCTTTTAACGACGCAACGACAAAAGTATAAGTAAGGTGATATGTGTAAGTGGGTCCGCGCGTCCGTTGAGTTAGGCTACACGGTTCTGGTGACCGGGCTGTTTCATGATGTCAACGCCCTAGCTAAGAGGGTCTCTACTTAACCACTTTTATTCGTTTTGAAGGCATGACGTCACATTGTGCAGTTAGTGGGCCAACGCCATTTTGCAATACACCTCGATCCCCTCATGCTCGGATTTGCATCGATCCCCCGCACCGCAACACAAGACGACATACGCGGCCGGACCGCCGGAGTGCCGAGTGCCGACACGGTCCTCCTCGACGTTGGGTTGTCCACCGCGCGCGCGCCTCGGACGGGCTGGCCAATAATTCGTACGCGTCGTGCGCCTCTCCGCTGCCACATAACGCGAGTCGGCGTCGCGAGATATGGTGCAACGAATATGATGCCCTTTGGCGGCAAGATTCCTGAATGCATGCAGACGCGGTGGGTTTAACAACACGTGTCGTCGTGGAAAAGTCTCGCTGCCGTGTCGACCGTCCTGTAATCCTGCAACGTTAGAAAGGACATAGCATCGATGTGTCAATGAGCTCATCCAGTCATCCTTGGTACGGATCATTGACGAAGTGTGTTAATTCCAAGAGTGCACGTCGCACCAAGTGTCACGCCGCCCAGTCGCACTCCGTTTTCTCTCTTTGTATGTACGATCAGCGCCTCAACGGTAGTACGCCATTAGGCATCTTTCTAGAAAAGAGAAGAAGAGAGAGAGAGAGCTACGCAAAATAGAGACCCGATCCCGTACATTTCGATTGATTCAATTCGTCCGCTACACGTGAAAAGGGCCATACCTCCGAGGGTGAAATTTGTCGGCACGAAAGTCATTCTCATTTTTGTGCCTACAGCCTACTGCCTAACGAGGCTAACGCTCATTGGTGCGTGTTCCAACAGAAATAGCATGTCGGGCTCTAGCAACAGGATCAACGGCATATCTTCTTCAAAAGTAGGAAAAAAAGAGAGAAAGGGTGTGTTTTGGTTGAAATTGAAATGATGTAATGAAAAAATTGAAAGTTTATGTGAGTAGAAAAGTTTTGATATGATAGAAAAATTGAAATTTTGAAGAAAAAATTTAGATCCAAACACGGTAAAAAAAAAGGATACCTTCGAGATCACATCTAATTGATCGATTGCACCGAGCATCAAAAGGACCCTTCTTGCGACTTGCGAGTTTAGAATTTGACAACATAAAGGTCATTTTCATTCATCGTTGATAGCTGATGAGGTTATACTATTTGTCTTTGACTATCTTGTCAGAGTGATTTTTACAGCTCTTTAAAGAAGCACTAGGAAATACCGTATTATATGAAAAAAAGATTGATACATCTTAGTATCGCTAGTACGTCTATCATAAAAAAAGTTGACACTACTCAAAGACCATAATTTTTTCTAAAATTATTTAAAAGACAGGATGTGTCGAAACAAGATTTCGGCAATAGTAAAAGGGGGTGGTTATCAAGTTAGGAAAGTGGATGAGTTTGGAGACGAAGAATTTTATACAGGTTCAAGCCTTCTTATTCAATAAGTAATACCCTACTCCTGTCCGGGGATTATTCCGCCGAGTGTGTTATTGATTGTATATATTGGAAAAAAGAATCGTGCCCCGAGAGGCACACGGACCCTCCTTATATAGGGGAAAGAGTCCGCTTTACAAAGTACAGTCCATATCCCTAACGGTATGTAATTACAGATAAAATACAATCGTAACCGACTAAGATCTCGGGCAATTCCTTGACATACAAGTTAAAAACTAACCCGAGTCCTCATAAAGATATTATATCTATATTTGGTACCGTATATCCGACTAAATTATAACTGTCATGTAGATATGGGGTATCCATAATTTCCACAGGATATAACTAAAACTAGTCTTACACGTTGCAGATGACCAACACTGGTATTTGTCTTCAATGTCGCTAGAATCTGCTTCGCTCATGTCAAATCTGAGAGAATTGTCATTGGACATGATGACAACAAGGTCACAAAAAAGATGGCCATGCCCATGTGAAGCCATATCAACGTCAAGCATAACATACCTATCACTAGGCATAACATCATGCCATATGTGGTAGCAAATCATTAGTGTAATGGAGAGTAGGTTTTGAATTGTCGTCGCGATGGGCTTGTACGTAGTTTTAGTGTCTCAAGCGGGGTTGATCCAAGATAACTCTATTTCAATGACTAGGGTCACGCCCACATCTAGGCTTTGTCGTTGCATCATGGTACTATGTAAAGATATATAGTGATGTCTCTTGCAATTGTATCAGAGTGGTATATGGGCATGTTTAATGGATTACTTTTCAAAGGTGTTTGATAGATTCCAAATTTTGTGATGTTAACTAGTGAATATGATGTGATGTAGACGCTCATGGTTGGACCACTTCTTATATATGAGTTATATCGCTTAATTGCCAACAGATCTTACTGGTATCATCATAATTAAGGACATCTTCTATCCTTGGGAGGTGTCACCAGTATATATCTGTATAATTATAATAAAAAGAAGGTATCAAAATTAATCATAGAAAGTCTACCTTTGCAATTTTTCTCTTAGTTTTTCTCCAATCCTTAAGAGTTACAGGTATTTAGTGATTGTCAGTTGGCTACTAAGAGTACTATATTCTCTTGCTAACACTATTACTACGTACAAAATCTTCGACTAACTTCTATGAACCATAAGCCCCACCGCGATGCTCTCTATTGGTAATAGAAAGAAATCCAAACCGTTGAACTACCACCCCAGTTAACGGTAGTAGAAACGTGGAGGAGCATTATTATAAAAAAAAAAGGTGCGAAGGGGTATAATCATTTATTAGCGATTAAACCTTTTTCCTCCTTTTTCGCTTTTTCGATGGAATACAAGTGATGCCAGCGCAATGGATGAAAATAGATCAATCTAGCAAGAAAAAAAACATAAATAACATACTTGCCGCTAATTATTGTATTAGTAAATTACTAATTTATCCTTAGTAATGAACTATTCAGATAATTTCTACTAGTAGTATAGTACTACCGGTAGAAAGCACTGGAGTATCGCCCAGTACTTTTTATGGGAGAAACAAAATCAACGTTATATATTTTTTCTCTAATCAGTACTGTTGCTTACTATATGTTTTGTCTCTCATGTCAAGGGAAAATATAATATCTTGTAAACACAAGAGAAAACATTATGGCTAAGACACTGAGAGCACCCTAAAAAAAGATAATGTCACATTATCAAAACCTAGAAAATACATGCCAGATACACACACGCCACACTCAGGGTCAGTTTGGTACAGCTCCAACTCCTAAATTTAGCTCTAGTAGTTGGGTCTGGAGTGGAGTTATGGAGCTGCCTAAACCCAGCTCCAAAACTCTAATTCATTTTATGAGAGAGCTCCACCCAGCTCCACTCCCAGTTTTGGTGGAGCTGAAACTATTTGGCTGAGCTCCAGCTCCAGGAGAGGTGGAGCTGGAGCTGTGCCAAACAGGCCCTCACACTCAATTAGATATGGGCGTACTAATATCTACTATTATAAAAATTAAAGATACTTTTGTCGGTATTTTAGTATGTCATCCGTGTATGAGTCGGTTTTTAAATTCGTTTGCTTTAGGAAACACAGAAGGAATCGTATAAAATCTCTTTAAAAAACTCGCATACTAACATGAGACGATCAGACTTCTAATTGCAGCTCATGATTTTCTAACAAAATATATCCAAATGAATTTAACACATTGAATTTTACATTAACTAAACCATATAACAATAGTAAGATTAAAATAGTTTTCACATGTTGCAACGCACGGGTATTTTTTCTAGTATATATCTAAATAGTAGTTAAGATTTAACCTCACGTAGAGAACCAATTTAGCCACACGGATCCACGAGAGATTGGGGATCAAATATGCAGTTTTGGAGTCGAGGGTGTCGAGTGGACCTTTTACAGAACAATGTTAGAAATGTACTCCCTCCGTCCCAAAATAAGTGTAGTTTTACACTATTCACGTTTAACGTTTGACCATTCGTCTTATTTGAAAATTTTTTATGATTAGTATTTTTATTGCTATTAGATGATAAAACATGAATAGTACTTTATGTGTGACTAAATATTTTTAAATTTTTCACAAATTTTTCAAATAAGACGGACGGTCAAACGTTGGGCACGAATATCTACGGCTGTACTTATTTTGGGACGGAAGTAGTAGTAAATTATTTCCTCCGACATGGTGGCAGTTGTCATTATGCGATAACTTGATAATTGCACATAAGGCCTTCTGGTTTAATCACTTGTATAGTACTACCTTGCCAATTACAATCTACAAACCAAAAAAGGCCACGGAAATGATAAGGAAAGAACCTCCAACCCCGAACACCGCACACACAATTGTACAGTGAGATGGATTGATGGTACGGTCGAGTTCACATCGACCATAAATTATAACGAACATATATAGAACAAGCGGTTGCTGTCATTGATGCGATCATTATTGTACTGAAGAATGCTTGAAAAAGTTTGGGAGGCCAATCTTTTTCCCGGTTGTCCTGACGTCTTCCTGCACCTTCTTCCTGTACTCCCCGAAGGTGAAGGCCCTGTATGGCGATGGCTCGCCGCATGTCCCGACAAGCGAGTCGTAGGACGGGCACAGGAAGTAGGCCACCGATAGCCGGTCCGTCTTGGCGTTGGCCACCACTTTATGCTCCACGCTCTTGTACCTGTTGTTGCTCCACGCCTATAGCAGAGCAGAGAATTAATTAGCTAATGATTCATGGCCTCATGGGACATCGAAAGTTAAAATCAATGCATCCACACAAAGACACGTCGATCTGATGACATCTCTGTTTCTCCCGCCTTGGTGGTCAAAGCTGGTACACACAATGATGCCCGAGCGAGCTAATCGGCGGACTGTTACCTGAAACAGATCGCCGATGTTGACGACGAGGGCGTCGGGGCGTGGCCTGACGGCCACCCACCGGGAGTCCTTCATCAGGTGCAGGCCCCCGACCTGGTCCTGGCACAGGACGGTGAGGAAGTCGCTGTCCGTGTGCGGCACCAGCCCGAACGTGTCCGCCGCGAAAGGGCACGCCGGGTACCGGTTGAGCCGCAGGAAGCACGTCGTCTCGTCGCACCCCGCAGGGAACCACGGCGCCGCCGATGCCCCGCCGCCTCCGCGCCCGGTCAGCTCCTCCGCCAGCGCCGCTGCCACCGTGTTCGCCACCCGCGACATCGCTTCGGCCACCTCCTGCATCACGCCCCTGCACGCCGTCACCACCACAACAACCTCCGCTTGTTAGTAATCGAGTACAACCACTCGATCATAATCCGTACTAGAGTCCATGTGCACCAACCGGCAGTAAAACAGTAAAAGTACTGATCAGCCAGGTTAATAACCTCTCGGCTAACCGGTAGGACAACGGAAACCGGTTATATATATGTTATTCACTGTTGATCCGATAAAGAACTAATAGAAGCTTAATTAGATTTCTTTATAACCTGATACGACGCTAGAAACCTTATCACCATCCAACTTTAGTGGTCAGTTTAGATTAATCTACAAAGCAACTGTGAAGGGGACATGATTTGGTAGGGTCAACTAAATATTCCTCTGTTTTTAGAATGTACGAGATGATGCTGATATTTAAACGTGATGTTTTATTAAAATATTATATAAATATGTAAACGACACGTAAAGTACCTTTAATAATAGAATATGCCATAAAAAATACATATTTTTCGCTAACTTTTAAGTAAGATAAACAGTCAAACGTATTATCCAAATATCAATTAACGCTATATATAAAGAGGAATCAGTAGCAAGTCAATGTTCATACAAGTTAGTCATTGGTGTCGCTAGCAAGCATAGGATCCATAAGCTCAGTGACCTAGCTAGTGGCTCAATTTACTGGATCTACCCTCGATTTAGACGGGAAAGGTTATATATTAGAGGTTACAACTCCGATTTATGCATCCTCCTACGCCTACGTGTGTGACTCAGATATTTCTTGTGCCCGAGATATTTCTCACAGTATTTCCTTCACTGTGTATGAAAGCTAGACACGCCTCGGAATGTACACGACACACAATATAATACTATCTCCATATTTTAATGTATGACGCCATTGACTTTTTATCTAACGTTTGACCATTCGTCTTATTAAAAAAATTTTATGTAATTATCATTTATTTTATTATGACTTGATTCGTTATCAAATGTCCTTTAAGTATGACATAAATATTTTCATATTTGCACAAAAATTTCGAATAAAACAAATGGTCAACGGCGTCATACATTAAAATAATGAGGGAGTAATTAATAAGCGAGTATATATATCACCGACGTGGGGGACGGCGTTGGTAGGCTGGTTCGATGGACACGAAGGCGTTAAATTCGGTTAGTGTACTAAAAGGCACGCATGTTTCGTGGGCACATACGCCACCGCACACATGATATCATCACTCATTGACTCACATGAGCGGAATATATACAGGTGACAGGCAAGTTTGCTGCTCGCTTGGAGCTTATTGTAGACCCCAGAGACTTTTATAGCTTAATTTGTTCGATCGTAAGGACAGCGAGCACGCGCGAATATAGCAGCGATCGCGCTCGCTCGCGTATGTGTCAGACAGTCGCGGCGAGTACGTGTACACGAGAAATATCCCGTGAACGATCGCAATTAACAGAGATACCTCCTTTTCTGATGAGCAGTGCCCTGTTAGCGCCTTTTGTACTAAGCTAGTACTAGTACTTAGACGCTGACACTGTAACTGTGACGGCCCGGTCTAGCTAGCTACAGAGCTTGTACGTACGAGTGTGAAACCGCAAGTTACTCCTACCTCCATCATATAATATATCAATCTAAAACTGGATGAGATCTATCCTACCTCAAAATATAGCAACACTAGAATTAGATAAGATATATTCGAGTCCAACGAATCTAGACAATCCCTTCTCCAGTTTCATTGGATTGGATATGTCTCGTCTAGTCCTAAATTACTAGTATATTTTAAGACGAAGGGAGTAGTTATAACTAAAAACAACTTAATTGCCAATTTTGTTAGCATATATCCAGCTTGTCACATGCATGCATATGCCGATATGCAAATACTCACGGATCGCCTCACCGGCCTGTTTCATCAAAATGACTAAAGTGTGCTTGCGCGAGCGAGCTAATTAAGAAAAACCAAGCTAACATATAAAAAGCAACATGGAGTACTGCAGTGCACACTGTACACTACTCCACTACGTATATTAACGAGTATATACGAGCTAGTAATTAAGCATAGTACGTACTGTACGTACCTTAAGGAGGTGAGGTCTCCAAAGTCGCAATCCGCCCCGGAGATGCTGGCGAGCGGGACGTGGAACGCCTCCGACCACGAGAGGTGGCGGAGCGACGTGGCGGTGGGGTTGCCCCACCGGTACGAGCCGTTGAGCAGGCCGGCCTTCTCCTTGGTTTCGAACGGCAGACGGAACAGCCTTGCCTGCTCCCGCCTCATCTCCTCCATCAGCTCCCGGCCCACGCCGTGGTTGGTCAGCTGGAAGAACCCCCACTCCGACGCCGCCCTCGCCATGGCGCCCGCGCACGCCTTCCTCTCCCCCGCGCCGCCCCTCGTCAGCCGCTCCAGGTCCACCATCGGCAGGTCGCGCTCCAGCACGGCGCCGCCCGAGCCGACCATCTGCACAGCCGGCGGCGCAATGCCACCGTCGCGGTCGCGGCGGAGCAGCGCCAGCGCGCGGTAGCTGTCGGCCAGAGGCGGGTCGATGGCGATGTCGGCGAAGGCCGGCATGGTCGGGAAGACGTCTACGTAGGCGAGAGGCTTATCTGTGTCTGTACAGCCGTGTACGCGTCGCACACGCAGTTGCACGTATGCTAAGCTAGCTTCTGGCTATCGCAGAGCGCGCGTCGACGAATGCTGCTGGGATACTACTAGCTAGCTAGGATGCGAGGCCTATATATAGAGCTCGCGAGGGGCCATATCGTCTCTCGGGACGTCGTACGTGGGTGCGACACTCCTAGGAGCCACGTGTGGGGTAGTGTTGTTGGGTTATGGCTGGGCCTTTGGTACTGTTTGGAAAGCTTTTTGACAGCTGCAGTTTTATCTAGACTTAAAAGTTTGTCTAAACAATTTATCTGGATTCTAAAAAACTTGTAGAATCCAAAATATAAACAAAAAGTCAGAAGTTGAAAACTCAACATTTTCAAATTCTCAAAAACTAACTATTAATCAACTACTTCTCAGAACCTTAAGTTGTACAAACAAGCTCGTTGACCATGTCACACTTGATTTAATTTGTTAAAGAGAGATTGACCCTAACCACTTAATAAGCCATAAGATGGACTTCAACTTATGAAGGCAAAAATATCTAAAACTTAGAAAATCTTATACAAAATTAATTAAACTGCACATCCCCGGCCCTTGACAGCCTCTGACAGAATGAACCGGGACTAAAGATCATCCAGGACCGATAGAGTTTTAAACCAGGACAAAAAACCATATTTAAACCTGGTTTCTATTCAAACCGGGACTATTGTGGTTTTTGGCCAACACAGCAACGATGGTTTCTTCGGTAGTGTTCCATACAGGCATACGTGCCTTGTAGAAACCATAACTCAACAGCGGGAGGCATGAGCGAAGCCACGTCTAGGGAGCGGATTGGCAAGCGTCTTTGCTGTGACATCCTAGCCCAATAGGATTTGGCATGTATGACCTCATGAGAGTTCTGTGCGCATGTTAATACCACTTTGCTAGTTTAGCAATAGTGAAACTAACTTATAAGATCTCTTCCCTTCAATCATACTACTTTTGGGTTAATCCTTTTACACAAAACGAGGATGAAAGTGTAAGTGGGGTGGTACGTACAGTAGTGGGCCCGCCTATCGGACGGGTTGGGCCACGGGGTTCTAGAGGGCGGGTTGTTAAAGTCGCCCTGCTATGATGCCCTTCGGCCGTGGAGCTCTCTAGCCATGCCACCTCAATCAAATCCAGTCCATTGTTGCATCGGCATGTCCTCGTTGACCAATGAGAAAGGAGAATATGCATTGTCAGAGTTCACCAATGAGAGGGAGTGGCCTCCAATTCGTTAGAGGTGGGGGAGAAGAGGTGCCTACCATAAGTACACAGCCGACCAAAGCTCTATCCATGCCTCTGAGCTCCAGATAAGGAGGAAGGCACGGTGATTAGAGGAGGAGGAAGGGTGACATGGCAGATGGAGGAGGAGGAAGAGAGGCGCGACGACTAGAAAAAGAAAAGCTTGACGGGTGGCATGAAGGAGAGCTCAGGTTGTGCTACATCAGGCGTCAAGGAGTAGAGGAGAGGGAGCAGCGTGGTGCGAGAGGAAGAGAAAAAGAATTGGGGAGAGGTGAAGAGAAGAAGAAGACGAATTGGGGGAGAGAGAGAAGGGTAGAAAAATGAGATGTGGTAGTTGAGAGGTGAAGTTACGGTTTAATTTATAGATAATTATTCTCTTAGAAGGGTTTTATTGTAAAATCTATAATACCATATCGTTTTATGGGCTATAGTAAAAACAAGAAGGCCTGACACACAAATTTTAGGGCCTATCTCAAGGTACGATGCATTGGGAGTTGCAATTTGATTGTTGCATTCATTTACTTTTGCTTAGGTAAAGCTTTGGGGGTACTAGTTAGGCTGCATTGTTCATGTCCTTCAGCATGGACAAGGTAGCCATGAGCTCATTGTCTCCTGTTGTTCAATTTTGTGTGGGAACAGTGAGACAAGCCGACAGTGGTTGGTCAGAGAGCTAGGATTTGGCATCTCTCCGACCTCACAAAAAGAAATAAAATGTACAGTTGCCCTAGGGCAAGTAAGAGAACAACAAGAATGCAATTAATATGCAGAGAAGTCCGGTATTAGTTTCAGTTACACCAGTCTAGTATGTGCTTTAATAACAAAAAGTTACTCTGTAAGATGGAGTTTGTGTCCTCCCTATGAGTCAAGCACATAATTGATAATGTGAATATACCTCTTATATCACTTTAGTTGACAACACAACAACATAGAGCCACATAACAACAGGGACGAGTTCATTCAATTCAGCTAGGATAATATATACCATCAGACTAAAATGCGAACACATACGTATCTTTCATCTTTTTATCATTTCTATCTTTTTTATTACTAGTATGTATTTATATTTGTATATGATATGATGAATATTGCGACCAATTAATTCGTGCATGGCCCAAGAGCAGCCAGCACTAGGTCAAAACAAACCTTTTCAGAGGCTATCCTATCCACGTGGAACAAAATTGAGTAGGCGATAGCTAGCACACTAGCACGTTCCCGTCCACAGACCAGACAAATTTCTTGTCCCAAGCGCTGCGCTCGTTATCTTAATGAAACTTCTTTAAATTTCATTAAATTTATAGTAAAATATAGCAATATTTTTAATATAAAATAAACATATTATCAAAATATATTTAATGTTAAATTTAATAAAATTAATTTGGTGTTATACATGTTGCTATTTTTTCTATAAACTTAATCAAATAAAAAAACTTTGACTAAAAAAAAGTCAAACAACTTATAACATGAAACGGAGTGAGTATCTTCTTAGGTGGTGTTTACATCCAGGGACTTAACTTTAGTCCCTGTCTTTAGACACTAATTTAGAGTATTAAATATAGACTACTTATAAAACTAATTACATAAATAAAAGCTAATTCACGAGACAAATTTTTTAAGCCTAATTAATCTATAATTAGAGAATGTTACTGTAGCATCACATAGGCTAATCATGGATTAATTAGGCTCATTAGATTCGTCTCGCAAATTAGTCCAAGATTATGGATGGGTTTTATTAATAGTCTACGTTTAATATTTATAATTAATTTTCAAACATCCGATGTGATAGGGACTTAAAAGTTTTAGTCCTATCTAAACAGGGCCTTAGCAATGTTCTAAATCTCAAGCTATAACTGCCGCTATAGCCGGAGATAGCGGATGGGGAGGGAAATAGCTAGGATATGCCAATTTTGATGCTACGATTTATCGGCCCTAATAGCTGTACTTAGCCGAAGATAGCCGCTAAAATAGCCAAAGATAGCTGCACTTAGAGACATCAAAACTAAAAAATAGATTCTTGACGTGCGAGGCACGCGAAGTTTAGCCCAAAAGGCCAAAAGCCCAGCCCAAAACTAAACCCTAAATCCCCCACTCCCCATCCACACTCGTGTTCTCCTCTTCTCCCCTAGTTCTCGATTCCCCTCTCCAAAGTAGCGGCGGCAGCTCCGACCTGCTGTGGCAGTGGCAGCGGTTGTGCTTCTCCTGGCCGCGGGGGTGGTGGATGCAGCTGCTTCTCCTTATGGTGGTGGGTACTGCTGCTTCTCCCGGCGACAGCAGGGGCTACTGCTTATTCCTAACGACGAACGTCCACCATTCCTCCCCGCCCCCTGCACCAATCCTCCTTTCCGTCGTGTCCCTGACCCCGAGCAACAACATGTCCCTGCCGAAGCAATATACATGCAAGAAAACGTTCTCTGATTGAAATTGTTCAAATGCCAAATGTTTTGTGTATGACGTTCTTTGATTTTGAATTGGTGATGAACTCTACGTGCAATCAAATAAGTGATATGTTAATTTTTTTTATATTTTAGAAAACCGCTAAATGTTTTAGCTGTAGCTATAGCCGGCTATAGCTGCTCTTAGCTGTTGGAGAGCTCAACAACTAAGAGGCTTGGCTGGAGATTTAGAATAGTTTCTTAGAGGTTTTTTTTTCACTCATCTTGTATACTTCAGTGTTTCTTAAATATAAATATTTCTAGCATTCAAACTTCATATATGATATAAATTAAAATTTGTAACACACCGATCAATTTAGTGTATGGAAATCTAAATATTTTTAGTTAATTATATATTTAAGATAAGAATCTAAGCAATTTATTATCTTTGTTAAATAATATAAAAATACTTTATATTTAGTAGGAACGTGGGGAGTAGTATTTTGTACACTATATACGACGTCCTATCTTACTATAAAGTTATCCTGCACTAACTTCTTAAGCTTAACAAGCAAAGATGCCACATTATTATCCATTAATTAACAAGATGCCACATCATCATTCACTAACAATCATCACATTTAAACATCATGCAAATATGCTATATCTTTATAATTTTTATAATTTAAGAGCTTTTCAAATACAAACATGTTAAATTATCATCCAATATAATTCACATAATGTTTCAATGTATATCTTTATTATGTTTTATGATATTCTATATACTTATATATTTCATCCTCACTTAGTTAGTGCTTAAATGATTAATTTATGGTCCAAATTATCTTTCTCCTTTTTTCCTCTAATTAATTTATATCACATCAATTGTTTTTAGCCTTTAGATGATTAATCTACGGTCTAAACTATCTCCCTACTTTTCATCTTCTATAAAATCATACCACCTTACTTTTTACGTTTGAATCACCATTCTACATACCATTTAAATTTAAATTATCATAAACCACATTAATTTACTTAATCTGATGTTATCTAGCTATTTACACGTTATTTTTTTATTGTTATTATACTAAATTCCCGCAGCAATGCAGGGGTTTCACATAGTTTTCTAGGATGGTCCTATCCTACAATTCAACGGTTTAAACTCGAAAGAGTGTCTATCCTGGTACTCTGTCATCATACATAGGCATGTACAGTCACATTTTTCAGGGCCAGCTGCGAGCCCTGCCGGAAGCATCGCATTTTGCAGACATGCCATGTTCCACGACCAGACCTGACTACCACTGAAAGGTTCATGAACGTACGGTGCCGCCATGCCTGCACTTTATTTGGAGCTGGTCTGTGCATGTAAGAAGAAGATTCGTCCAGTTTCTTTCCTTTTTTATCTCAAACAAAAAGTGGACGTTAATCACCAATCCATTCATCTGTCTCCAGAGTCCAAATTTCTTCTACTTAGATA